TTATCGAATTGATAATCTGAAGTTTAAATACCTTGGCAATTGTAATAGGTTGAAATTTTTTCTAGCAACTGTAGTAATAAATGCAGAATTATTGTCTCCCATAGCAACACAGTTTGTCCAGCAATCAAGTCTAATTTAGCTCTAAATTTTTATAGCTCGATCGAGCAAAAGCTTGAAATAAAACTGCATGTCTTTTTGGTATAAAGTCAAGTTAGTAGATGCAATTAAATAAATTAGTTTTACTAATTCAGTGCTCGCAATTACTATACGACAAATTTGAGAGTATAGTCAGTTTAATCTAAAATAGAGCTACCAATTTTTAAAAGCTTCGTCTAAAAGTATTTCCTACACTCCATGTCCTACACTTTAATGACCATTGCTGATAGTATGAGTATATTAAATGGTCGTCGTCTGTTATAAAGACCATAAGTGCCAAGAATTATACTATATATACTCTACCTCTACCTCCACACAGTGAGCCAGAGTGGACCATATAAAATTATCTGTACATAATTCTTTTTATGTACATGTGTATTTAAAACTTTTATAATATTTTTTATTTTCAAGGGCAAACCTGACAGAACAGTCGGTTGACAGTGAAGTAAGTCAAGTGACGGACGGTGAGTGTAGACCACACTCACCAGTCGTTCCGCGTTGTTTTCGTGTGTACTACACTTACGCAAGTCCGCTCTGAAATTAGCGTGCCCTTTCTGACTACTGCCACCCACCTTTATTGTACGTCATGACATATGAATTTATCGTAGATAATATTGTACGAATACCTATGTATTGTTCCATTATACGAGTACATGTGATTTCTAAAATATTATGATTTGAATAGATGATACAATATCCATCTAATCTACTATACTAAACTATTCTAAACTCCAATTTATCTTTATTTTAAGATTTATTAATCTTTCTAGCACATCGAAAACCTGCACTCGTAGTGATATGAAATGTAATATACAGAAAAATATATATGTATACAAATACTACAATAAAAAAAATCGCACACAAAGTCAATTTATAAAATTGACAATTGTCTTTTTACAATTTTAAGTATTCCATGTCACGTCTTGTCTCGGTCCACTGTCTAGACATCACACACGACTACAATTTTTTTTTTCTCTTCTCGGTAATACGACTTTTGGCAGACTAGTTAAGATAATCTTGGCAAACATTTGTAACTTTCATTCGTGGCGGTAAATGAATGAAAGCAGACGAGAAAATGAGTCATGTTGCCTATCTGGACGGCAAGTCCTTGATAACCACTCGAAAATTAAAATTATGACATCATCCATGTTTTATGAAGCCGATTCGTAATTATAACATCGCATTTTTTAAAGTCCATCAACATAAAAAATTTCAGCATTCAATAATAAACCATTACGGTTTTAAAGCCTTGTAACTATTTATAAAAATCATATAAATTTGTTAACAACTACAGACTTTAGACTGGTTCCTTTTCTATTCATAAACTTTAATTCTATCTCATTATCTGCTTTAAAAAAAAATTCAAGTTGTATTTTATTGTTAACATATCCAAAATGTAAAATTACATATTACATGTATAAAAAAATATATGTATATATAGATACATACAATTAATATGTACTTACAAATCTTTTAACAATATAATTACATATAGAGTACTTATACAAAGTTTTATACATGTTGTTGATGAATATTTGCATATATTACCAGAGACAATTGTAGTCCTTTTAATGTTTCTGCTGGTAAACATCACAATACAACACGACATATTGAAATACAGAATAAGGAAGCTTGATAATTTAGTCCTTAGGGATGGCAGAGCATGTAGGGTCCCGTATACATCACAGTACAATTTATGATGTCCGTGATACTATCTATCAATTTATCTTATTTCTCTAAACATTATATCAATTACTAACTATCGACCATAGTTTTGTACGCGTGGTGTCGTGTTTCTCCTTTAAGTTGAAAATTTCAAAAATTCTTTCTTGTCGAATGCTTACATTATACAATAAATATGTGTTCGAACATTCTAGACATAGTATTTTAGTAGTATATGAGTAGACAATTTTATAATCAATCAATGTATATAATAAAATCGTAACTGGTCGCTGTCTGTACATGGAAGATATTTAAGAAAAATTATTTTGGGGGGCATTTTGGAACGCAACAGAACCCAAAACAAATGATCAAATCTAATGATATTAATATAGATTAGGTAATCCAATATATGCCGTTCTGCTAGGAATAGTTTGTATTAGAAAATAAAAATGGTATTTTTACATTTTTCTTAGCAGTTTTTTTTTTATTTTTTTCTTTCTGAGAACGTCTTCGGATTTCAATGAATATTATAAAAATCTGAATTAATCCAGTTATTTTCGAGTTATTCGAATAATAACACATTTATCGATTCATACTTAATTATATAAATGATTAATGTTTGAGTTTTCTAATTACAACCTGCAAAAATTTATAACATACAATTATCAAATAGAAAAAAAGAAAAAAATATATATTAAATACAATGCCGTCATTGTGCATTGTCATGTTGTACTTAGATTGCCTGTTGTTTCTAATTGAATTATTATTATTGTTGTTGTTTTTATTCAAATGTAATATACAGTTAATCATAGACAATATCTATATGGTGTAAAGTCCGCCTTTTACACTATCTAGGTATATTAAAGTTCAATAAATAAATATTCAGTTTTCCTTTCTATAATATAAAGTTATTTTCAATTCAGAATAAAGCCAGCTCTTAAAACTTAAAACTATTCGATAATTTAAATTTCTAAATAGATTACAAATATGTTCTATACATTTAATAGGAATAGTTTTTTTCTTTAGAAATTACAATCAAAATAATAAATATAATATATAAAGTTCTGTATCTATATCTATAGTTATATCAATTAAATCTAATTAATAATTTATTATTTTAATTCAATCAACTTCAGTTTTTTTTAAACCAGCATATAGCTATATATGTAAATATAAGACGAAATACGGTGCGCTAATATATAGAATAAAGGCACATTATCACAATGAACAACTTGTTCTTAGTATACGAATAATTTCTGTTAACTTACAACTAGATACTATTGTTATGGATGGATGGTACTGAATACAGAATCTTCTTTTAATAATCATCCCTTATGCTGACATACTCTTAATGTAGACGTATAGATTCGAAAAAGTCAATATGATTTTTAATCTTCAGAATAGTATTCTCACTTTTTTACTAGTTTTTCTAAGAATTTTTATTAAAATAATATTGGAGTATATAAATGACGACAATAAAGTCATTGAAGAATTATATCAAAATTTTAAAATTGTAAGGTGATTTATTGTCGTAATCAAAAAAACGTCGAAAATTACAATCTCCTTATTATATCATATAATATTATTATGTTTCTGCATTCAAAAGCATGTGGAATCATAGGGGAAATCCTACCAGATACCACATTTATGGATTAAAGTATTCACAAACTAATTAGTAACTTATAGGCTTAATTGGTTAATATACAATTTCTAAGAGTGTTCTAGTAATATAAATTTATATGCTACGTAGTGATAGTAATAAAAATAAACGTCTAAAAACTTTCAAAAAAAAGCAATCATATGGAGTTTAAGATAAGATAAGCAAATCGTACGATATTGATATTCATAAGTGTCATAATATAAAGTACCTGAGTGAATACCCACCCATCAAAGGTAAATGTCATACTGAAACGAGATAGCAATTTAGATAGCAAGTTACATAAAATTTCAAATTTCAGGATTATTCTTTCGTCCCTTGGTTTATCATTTTATACATACCCACCAATATCAGCCACATGAATGAAAGTCAACTCTGTCTGTTTGTTATATTTTCGAATTAATTACTTAACAAATCTGATAAAAATTAGATTCGGTAAGAAATTGGTAGAAACACAGTTTGAAATTAGCGATAAGATATAAATTTAACTCCTTTCCGTGATTTTCACTGGGATTGTTTAAAAAGGAAGTATTACGATTTCGTCAGGTTGATAACATCATGGCCAATTACTATAGTTACCATTTACCATCAGAGAGTTTGTTGCTTAATTAAATTTATGATATAAAAATCTTTCATCTGTTGTCATATTACTCATCGTTTCATTTTCAATCCTTCCAGACGACATTTACAATATATATTTTTACACCCAAAACGTACACCACATATATTTTTACAATTATGCTATAAAATATGTAAAATGACATGAATATACATAAAATTTATTCATCCGGTGCAATGGATCAGCTTTGAAAAACTTCTGATTAATAATATTATACTTACATATAAAATTTATTAAAAAAATTAATAATATATATAAATTATATATATATATATATATATATATATATATATAGAATAAAATATTTTAGAGAATTAAATATACGTGAATATTTAATCTCTAAATATATATGTGGTGCATATATTTTCTACCTGATCATAATTTTAACAAAACGCAAGTCACATGCGTGTTTACATAACTCAACTCGAGTCTTTGCCCGATAACGCAGATTGTATCATCCTGCGAAAATAGATCTTTGACATGCCTCTTCGTTGCCGCTGATGTTGATATGATGGCGACGTATTGCCACTTTCACGTGGCATTGTTTTTATTATGGCACCCAAGTGACGACCGTATCACCCGCTGATAACGATACGCCTATTGATAAACATATTTACTTTAACTCAACCAAGACCGCTTTACTTTATAGTTCGCGTACAAGCCCTAACTACATGACTATATTGATTGATCTAGTCACTCGAACAACGCATATAACGTAGGAATGCAATTATTTACATAAACACACGTGTCGTACCGGTTCACCGTTTATGCGCGCGTTCCAAATCGCAGCCGCATCAGATAATATATAGATGCGGATGCAACGCATCTACAGTCAGATGCTGCAGATTGATGTGCGTTTAATTGCAGTAGGAGTGTCAGATAATATCGTTGGCAACGACCACTCACCGGCGGGACGTGTAGTCCGTCTTGCGGGGTTCTCCTCATGCAAATTGGGTGCATGTCGGCGCGCCTCGGCCAGACCCAGCGGGGCTGCCAGCGCCAGAAGCACCAGCGCGGGCAGCATCGCGCCGCCCGAAGACACCACTAGTAATCGCAACGGGTTTTCGCTCCCGGCCACGAGCTCACTTATTTTGGCCGCGCGCGCTATGACCGCACGAGTGCAGTTCGAAGAGAGCGTGTTCGCGAGGTGCGCGTAAACGTCGTCGTGCCGCGACGGCTGAGCCGAACTGAGGCGAGCGCCGCACGATTTCCCGGCATTGGCGGCGAGGGAGCCGGCGTGCCCCTCGCGGAAAAGCGCACTCGCGCGGCCCACGAGCGGCGCGGGCGGAGAAAATTGCAGTGCCGCCACCAGAAACCGCCCGCCGCGCCGCGCCCGCCGTAACGCCCGTGAACGTCACTCACTACGGCAAGACAAACACGCTACATACACGCAGTTTACTAATGATTATTTTCTATAGATATTAAGAGTTTGATTTTTATTCACCTCTTACCTATTATTAATATAGTTGATTGTATAATTTTAAGTAATAAAAACAATAAAAAAGTGTTATATCCTTTAATTAAGTAGTTGTCGATAGGCAGACCATTTCACTTATAGGTACATTTAAACTAATGTATATAGGTAAAATCAAAATCATTACATCCAAAAAAAGTCAAAAAATTATGAACATCTCATTCAGCACTCGAATTAATTTGTAAATTTTACGTATTATAAAATAAATAGAAAGCTCAATTTCTTTTTTCAATAAATATTTTATTGGGAAAAATATTCTATTTCACTGGAGAAACCAGTGCTTAAAAGGTGGTAATCAATTCGATTTCACTGTATATACTTATTATATTTCATGAATCGTTGAACTCTATTGTACCGCTGCAAAGCGGTTAATGAGTCAATAACTCTGAATATGTTCCTTTTAACATTATATTATATGTAATGAAAAAAGCAAAATTCCAGTAAACTCTACAAAGAATTTGTGCCAAGTCTAAAATGAGGAAAACATAAACGATATTTACTATTGAAATTCCGTAATTAAAAATATACTGTATGAACTAAATAGTAGGTATTTCAAAGCTTTCATCTTCAACTCCTACCGACAAGGATGTTTAAAAAGTGACATCCATATTAAGTTATACGTATTATAACATTACTGGATATTACATTTACACTATCATATGATTCTATTTTTACCTATATATAGGTATATGCCTAATTTTAGATTCTAATATGCTTGACAAATAAATTTTAAGTTTATTAAATCCGTGTAATCTAACTACAGAATAACTATACTACTACAATTTTTTAGAACTATCTCTAAAATTAAAATTTCAATTTAATAGTTTAACAAAACAGTTATGACACAATTCTATTTAAAAAAATCGTTTTTAAACTAATGTTAAAAAAGTTTCGCAAACACGTATTATATTTTAATGTTTAACTTACGTGTTTGATTACACGTAAGTTAAACCACTGGTTTGACTTACGTGTAATTAGATCGAATAAGCTCGACTAGTTTCAGTCAGGCCGGTGCTCAATCAATCTTGACAAACTAAATCTTAATAAATAAGTCATAGCACCGTAATCACTCTAAGGAAGATTTCTGGATAAAGTCGAATTAACTATCGGAAATGACAAACACTAAGTTTATTAAAATCTCTATATCCAGTATCTTAACAAAATTATCCGCTATAAAACAACCGACAATTCGATTAAAAAAATAATCAACAAAACCAGTTCCGACAAAACATTGGTTTTTGCTAGTGGGATTTACATACACAAGATTATAATATCTTGTGTATGTAAATCCGACGAGTAGGTACACCTACTAGATAAACAATAAAAAAAACTGTTTTCTTTTGATAATTATTTCATTTACGGAAGAAGGAATGGAAAAAATCAAAGTACTTATTTGTAGTATACGCTTAGGTATACGTTAAAAAATTACAGGATACAGATACCAATTTATAAGCAACAATTGATAGTCTCCACCAACATTAGCTTGTTTGTCATTTGAAATTACAACATGTTTTTTTTCTGTAACGAAATAACACCTAATATTAATACTGCGATAAAAATTCCCCTGTTGATAAATATTTTAAAATCCATAACTCTGCGTTTGAGAACCATTTTATTAAATAAAGGCTTTCCGACAGCTCTAAAAATAATTAAATAAATATAATTACTATTTATAAAATGTGTCTTATTTATTTTTTTAAATTAAAATTTGATTTTTTTTTTAATATTATTTATATTACTTAGATATTACCTTGCTTAGGTAATAACGTATTTCAAAATACGAAGTTGCCGTGTTTTCTAATAATTTCTCGAAAAGTGAATTAAGTAAAAACTTACCAAAAAGTTCGTTCTATTTTCCTGTATCTGCCTAATTGACATTTATGCATAGTTTTCGAATTGAAATTATTCCACATTCATCGCTTAAAAAATATTGAAGATACATAGAATGGTACGAGTATTTTCTACTTTCTCCATCGAAATCGTAAACTAAGAGACATAAAAAAATATAAACCTGTTTTGAAATGAGCAAATTGAATATGTAAAAGATACGATAAAAAATACTGTAAAAAGTTTCTTTTTTTCACCATGATGAATTGGACATGATGGTTTCCAGAGGGAACCGCGTGGAGATTGACCTGAGAGGGTATATTGCTACCAATGAGGCTATTAGGCCTCATTACTAACAATCCCTTTCCCCCATTCCACAAGCATTAGGTAGTGTAGGAATATGAGGGGGGGAAATCGTTATTAATGCGGACCACCCCTGGAAACCGTCGTGCTGAATTCCAGGTGTATTTATTACGATGGGCTAACTGATCTGCTCTTTCATTTTCACTTATCATCCCTTACTGATGCCCCGCCGGTGTATACCGATAGCGCAGGCAGGGTTACCATTCCATTATCATCCATTAAAAAAAATGTAGAAATATATAGCGCTGCGTTGTAGCAGACAAATAAACCGACAACAGAACTATTACAAGGATTCTTTTGACATTTTTTTACAAATCCTAAAAATAGAAAATAGGTACAGTTAAAGCTTCATTTTAAAACTCTATTTGAAAATGAAGCCAGAGTGAACTGATTAATCGAAATAACTTTATTATTCATTCGAGAATGTGCGATGAACAGACTCGTTGAAGAAATTAATACCTAATAATTTATTGAATTATATCTGGTGCAAAACTCAATTTGGCAAACAGCCCAAATAATATATTTCATATAAATAAATGTAAGCAGCCTAATAAATAGAAATATCAATACTACACCATACCTATATTTAATAAGCAGAATTCTTAAGATATCTCTTGACGTTTTTTATTTTTATTTCAGCCATTAACTGCCCACTGCTGTATATATATATATAAGATAAGCCTTCCCCATAAGGGGAGTTTTTCCAGTAGTTGCCACGCTTGATAGGCCGATTAGAAACCGCAGTTAGGCTTTTAGATATGTTTTAAGTGGACTCTTACGACACCCTCGGGAAAGGTAGGAGTGGCCTATTCTATGTCGGAACCACGCGGCGAACTTAAGTTTTTTAATAAATGAAAATGGATACTACTGATAGTGCACCAATAAATGCTGGCAAGACACCAGTGATGAGTAATGACGAAGAAATCAAGTTCATTAGGCTTTTGTGACCAATTGACATAGAATTAACCACGATAATTTCCGGGGACACCGTGTAGAGAACGACCTGTCAGGTATTAATACTAGCAATTTAAGAAAACGAACTCTTATTTTGATAAAAGAACACACTGTATCTTTTGCGGACACAACTGACAGACCCTTAAGAACGAAAATAAAATTTTGATAAATAATGTCAAACAGAAAGATGAAAGCTCGTTTTATTGTTGTATTACATAAAGTTATTGTAATTACGTAAACGCATAAAGAGGCAGCAATAGACGGTCTTAATTTTTAATATAATTGTTATAACATTTCTTATTTTATTCTTTTGCACATATATTAAAAATTTGTAAACATATAAGGCGGAGTTAATTATGGAATTCTCTACAAATTCCCTATATGAAAATATTTGCGATCAATTTCCTACAAAATGGATGACTAGATCCTTTGTAAAGAGCCAAAACTTAGAGAAATAATCATTATTAAGTGTTAAAATGGTTCATTAACGAAAATATTATTTAATGGAAAAATTACTGATCCTCTAAAGAAACTGTTTTGACGTTTGAATAGTCATGAAATTAATGTGAGTTATGAAATTAGCTAAATATATATTATAAACTAAATAATACAAATTGTATTACTAACACTTTCCTGCGGGTTTTCTTGCGTGTATCAGTATATAAAGCATCCTATATTGTTTGGTATCTACCCATGTACCAAATTTCATCCAAATCCGTTCAACTGTTAAGGGTTGATTGAATAACAAACATCTTTATAAATTTTCACATTTGTAATATTACTAGCTATTTCCCACAGCTTTACCTGTGTATATCAGTATACAAAGTATCCTCTGTGTTAAATCCTAACATACCCGTGTACCAAATGTCATTAAAAAATAAGTTGCATAAAAAAATTCACGTTTGAATATCAGTAGAATTCACTTGAATACTATTTTATTTTTCTTACATTGTAAGTCCATAACCTAGTCTAGAGCCGGGTACCCAGCGGCGAAGTGTATTACATCCACGACAGCTTTACACGTCCGGTGCAAACTACCACGCAACCGGAGACACACGCCGTCAGTACTTATTGGTTATGAGTTAGTTCAACTATATACTAGGTCTAAAGATTCCACTGTTATTGTAATAATTTTTAAATGTCATTTTAAACTAATGATGGGCAGAACTCGAACTCGTAAACAACATACCGCAAAAAAGACGCCGTTTGTCGTATCTCCTCACTTTCAGGGCACTTCCCTTGATAAAAAGTCTAGTCTAGGAATTCTGGGCGTTGATATATCTTGCGACGTCCAGTTTTGCGGTCATCTGGAGGAGAAGGCTAAGATAGCTTCCAAAAAGTTAGGAGTGCTCAATAGGGTGAGACGATATTTCATGCCAGAACACCGCCTGAAATTATATAAAGCCCAAGTCAGGCCGCATATGGAATACTGTTCTCACCTGTGGGCAGGAGCGCCACAGTACCAACTCCTTCCGTTAGACCGCATTCAAAGTCGGGCGGCTCGAATTATCGATAGTCAACGCCTTACTGTCCGACTTGATCCACTGAAACTGCGCAGAGATGTTGCATCTCTATGCATCTTCTACCGAATTTATCATGGGGAGTGTTCTGAGGAATTGTTCGGATTGATACCTGCTGCTGATTTTCACCACCGTACAACCCGCCACAAACTAAAATTTCATCCCAATCATCTGGACGAGTGGCGGTCTTCCACCGTGCGTTTTTCAAGGCACTTTCTTCCACGCACAACCATTCTTTGGAATCAACTTCCAGCAGCAGTATTTCCGAACCGATACGACAACATAACCTTCAAGAAAAGAGTATATTCCTTTTTAAAAGGCCGGCAGCACACCTGCAATGCCGCTGGTGTTGTGGGTGATCATGGGCGGCGGTAGTCACTTACCATCAGGTGAGCCGCATGCTCGTTACCCCCTGTGTTGTAAAAAAAAAAAAAAAACTTGATACACAGCTAGGAAAATTAGTTTCCCAAAAATCTAAAAACCCAATGAACTCAATTTTGATGCGACATTTCTCTATATTAATGTTTTAAATAAATATTTTGAGTTTTGCGAAATGACTGTTTTATGGACCAGCGTAAACTAAATTATAATAAATTCGAATTACCTAAATCTATCATCAAATTAGTTCATAATAATCCTTAGTATAAAAATTTCTCTGCAAAATTAAATTGAAATTTTAATTTCAAAAATAGATTTAAAGAAATGGCACTTCAGAATTGACCCCACTCTATTAAATTTTACCGCGATGTTTTTATATTTGTATAAGAAAAATAAGAGATTGAGTAAGTCCGCCATTGTATGCCAAATCATTTTCATGTGTCCAATGTAAATTACATATGAATATTAGAGAAAAAATACAACGATGTTTCTAACTAGCATCGTTTTCGAGAAATTATCAAAAGTACTTCAAAAACAAATTGCAGAAAAGTATTATAGTATTATTGTATATTATAAAAAAAATCTTATAGACCGTACCGATTGATTTTAATTGTGCATGTTATGGTAATTGCCACTTTTTACGTTCTTTCACGTTCACCTTGTAGTAATTTCTCTTGGTGTTTCGGTATATTTTTTTAAGCAATGACGACTACAACACGATTCAAAAAATTTTTATATGATAAAAGCAAACGTTTGGAGACATTTTATATACGAAAGCCTCGGCGAGCGAATTCAACTCAGTTGAAGTTAACCGGCTTTTTTTAACACAAATTGTTTCTATATCCATATCAATAGAGGGGTTTTCGAAACTGCCTCATCCGTTTGTAAGATATTATCTATGCTTTAGAAAATACCTTTCAAATAGTCACTAAAATCTGTTCATATTATAGAAAAAGTATCAGTATATACAAAAAAGTTTAGACACCCTCGTCCTTTTCTGAAATTGGTCAGATGGTAGATACAGAGTGACAGTCAATCGGAAGGAATAGCTAAAGTTTCAAGACATATTCATGAAGTTAAACCGCTTTCCCAAGAAAAATAGGAAAGCAGAGGTATGACATGAATGGATAGTGTAATCGTTGGCTCATTTCATCTTACATAAATATCCTTTTGGATTGTTCAAGATGCAGTCTAGCAGATCCATTATTATTAGAAAATTACTACTCAGTTGCTCGTTAGATCCACCACTTTCTCGATTATCTTATTTATCTACTTAATATCAAATTTTGTTGAAGTTATAGTACTTACCACATACCACATAGTATATCGTACTTACATACTAAGTCTGTTGATATTCACCTAAAACCAAAAATTACAATCTTATGTAATACATAAGATTGTAATTGTGAAGAAGAAAAAAAAATACATTAGATTGGGTACCTAAATTATTCTAATAGGTATCAAGTTTTATTTTTCTATCTGTAAGTTACCCCATGATATCATGGGTTGAATTAGGAATCTGTTCTTCATCACTTTATGCACAGTACCCCTAAACAAATTATCGATAGATACGATTTCACTACCAAACACATAAGAAAGTCGCTGATCGATGTAGTATCGTTCTATCTCATTCATACAACTGCAAAAACATATATGCAACAGATTTGTTTGCCACTTATCTAAAAGGGTCCAAGGAATTGATTATGCAAATGGCCATAATTTTTTAACTAAATATACATCAACAGTTACATTTTCTGTCATGGATTAAGAATTTCTGCGAGTTATGAAGACCAAGTGGCAACTAGAGTAAACTAATGATCTTGCTAAACGATGGTAACAAACGAGACCATGGGCCTTAACCTTTTTTCTCAAATTACTCATTTTTAAAATCTGCAGTACAGATAAGAGTCCCTATTCATGAACAATCTCAATTATAGGCCCCTTAAATAATTATTAAGTATAAATTGTTATTCCTCTTTGACTAAGGATAATAACATATACCAAAATTGCAGAGAAACAAATTCTCGTAGAGGAAAGAAAATTATTTATTAATCCAAAAAATAGATACTATGCAATTTCATCGAATTACTAGTAATTGTCAACAATATCATTATAATATTCACGTGATTACAAATATTGTTTCTAATAGAAGTTTATAAAATGATACCAGCAGCTTGATAAAAAACTTTTAAATAGGAATTGTTTTAAAACAAAAATCAAATATTGGTGAGGATATTTTATTCCATAATACAGCATTAAGACAACCGGAATGTCACATATCGCATTTCCATTATTAGTCTTGAAAATAAAAAAAAAAAACCTCTATCCACCATATTTTGCCACATAATCGTATTTTTGAAATGTATTTTAACAATTTCTTCTAAATTATTATAAAAATGCTAAGTTACAATTAATTGTGTAAGAGCAAGTACCACTGAGAATTCTGAGCATTGTTTCCCTGTAAGTAGAAACACTTCTCAAAATGACACTGTGTTTATCTAGTAAATATTATTATATTCCTAAATTACAAGTTAATCTCGGTTCACCATGAGAAGTTGACTGTAAATGCAAGTCGGCTACAACGAACCGTTTCAATGTACGGGAACCATCTAAATGAATGGTGTCGAATGCAAAACACATAACAGCTTACTCTACCTAGTTAACTTCCATAAAAATAAACTTCATCAATTATCATCATACATATAAGTCATTCTAGTTCTGAGTGGAATACGGACATATCAAATGTTGGTCGAACTGTATAACTTAAAATAAATTAGTCCAAAACCACAAAGCGATGTGAATAGGCTGCGGGCGACGGAACGCCGGCGGCTGTCCTCGCGCCCTCTACTAACTTCCTTCTACCGCCTGGAAATAAACCACCACTCGCAGCCACCCTAACTGCAAAATGCTTATGCAATGCTTAGGTCACAGGCGTATTTTTAAACAAATTAAAGTCATAGAGAGTGAATTAACTTTAAATACTTTATTACGACAACTTATTCCACATTATAGTATACATATAAAACATGTTATGCTGTGATCCACTTTATCACGTGTCAGCTACATACCTATCCACATCACAATGCGCGATCACACAATAAGTGTACACCATTTCTTCCGTCCGTTTATTGTAGTATAATTATAAACAAAATTGTAATTTTGCGTTAAATTTACACACTATGTTTGTTTTGTTCAACGTCATCGGGGATCGAACAAACAACGCACCTCGTATGTGGACCCTAACACCACTTCACTAAGTACAGCATAACGCCCGAACACTTACAATATAAACTATATTGACGGTCGCAAATCCGAGTGGAACAGCGGGTGTGCAGTGTTCGACTTCTTTTGCGAGTGGTTCGGAGAGAATGCGATGCGAGCTCGGTCGCCGGGTGACGCATCGGTAATACATTTATGATTCCGCACATAATACATTGTATTTAATAGCAAATAAAGTTAACATATTATCTTAAACCATAGTCTCTTTCAGTAACCATATTTGCTGCGTGTCGGTATCGCACAGGCGGTTAGCGGTTTGCGTTCTTAAGTTGGTTGGAGAGCCAGTCGAGCCCCTCGTAGAGGCCGTCACCAGAGGTAGCGCATGTCGCCTGGATGTACCAGTTGCGGTTACGCAACGAGTGCAACCCCAGCTTATCCGTTATCTCAGCTGCGTTCATTGCGTTTGGCAGATCCTGGTAACAGATTAAATATTTAACATATCTAGTAGTTGTTGTAGAAATTTAAATTTGTTTCATAATTCTAGTTGATTTAATAATTCAAGATTCTTTCTATAAAACAAATCGACCTCTGATCAAAATTAATATGGAGTCACAAAATATATAAAATAAATTTATTCTTAGTTATTTATTTTTAATTTAATGACTATTATATTCAGAACATACGTTTTCATTACTAGGATAACAGATACAACGATCTAATTTTACCATATTCAGAATGCGTAGTTAAAAATTGTGAATATTTCAATAGAATATCAATGTAATAATAGGGCATACATCAATAATACGAAACTTTTTACATACAACTTGCAACACCCATGGTAGACGTCATACGTTATTATCCTTAAGTATTAAAGACTTCTGACTCATCCCTGTAATGTTACTATCATATCTCACCATTCAAACTAAAACACAAGTGAAACTGGCAACAGAACCACAAGTGAAAGAGAGATATCATTACGATGTAATTTAAAACTTTTGTGTATTGTTAAATAATAACAATTATGACTTTTGATACAGTCTCCGTGTGGTACTTGATAACCTTTAGTAAAAAGACCATAAAAATAAGTAACTCATAGGATATTTTCTGATATTTTATACAATGTTTTACGCTGGCAAAACAAGGAGATACGACTACAAAGAATATAAATTAAAACCAAGCTACTTAAATAGATAAGGTAACAATTACATCAAATAAAAATTACAATTGTCAAAAATATTCAAGCGAAACAATTACAAGATTTGAGAAAGAAATATAAAATCAGTTACCTGTTTGTTTGCAAAAATCAAAAGTACGGCATCTCGTAGTTCATCTTCACTTAACATTCGCATAAGTTCTTCGCGTGCCTCGCCGATACGCTCTCGGTCATTACTGTCTACTACAAAAATGAGACCCTGAAAATTTAAGACACAAAATATATTTCAAAATTATACATAATAATAATACCACTGTTTAAATATACTTGTGAAAACTACCCAAACCTATCTTTTTAAAGGATCGATAACATAATATCAATAATCATGGGCGAAACAGTGTACTCTGTTATGTCCATGGTACTGCTCATGTCTATAGGCGACGGTTACCACTTTCCATCAAGTCGACCGTCAGCTTGTTTGCTATTCTAAGTTGTATAAAAAAAAAGTTTGATTGTTATGAAAACAAAAAATCTGTTTAAATTTTCAAAATAAATTTAAATAAATTATAAAACTTTTAAGGAAGTATAGAATAGTAAGTCACACACAATATGATACATGAAAAATTTGAATGAAAAGTCTAATGGTACTAAATCATTGAAAAAGATACATAATAAAATTGAAATTATAATTAACATATTTAAAAATTACCATACCAATATTTAACATGTGCATAAAAATAATCAAGTAATAGTAGGTATATTATATAAACAATGAAAATAATTTCATTCCATTAGTAATCAGTGACTTCACAGCCGACCTCTTGAGAACTGGTACCAGTTACCAGTCATATATTCCCTTAAACATAACGCTAGACTAAGAGTCTTCTTTTAAAATATTACATTCCCCCAGAAGATCCTGCTAGGATTCAACAATATTAATTTAAATGTTATCACGTTCTTTATTCACGCGCGCTTGCACACATACACACACACACACACACACGCACACGCACACGCACACGCACACGCACACGCACACGCACACGCACACGCACACGCACACGCACACGCACACGCACACGCACACGCACACGCACACGCACACGCACACGCACACGCACACGCACACGCACACGCACACGCACACGCACACGCACACCACACGCACACGCACACGCACACGCACACGCACACGCACACGCACACGCACACGCACACGCACACGCACACGCACACGCACACGCACACGCACACGCACACGCACACGCACACGCACACGCACACGCACACGCACACGCACACGCACACGCACACGCACACGCACACGCACACGCACACGCACACGCACACGCACACGCACACGCACACGCACACACACACACACACACACGCACACGCACACGCACACGCACACGCACACGCACACGCACACGCACACGCACACGCACACGCACACGCACACGCACACGCACACGCACACGCACACGCACACGCACACGCACACGCACACGCACACGCACACGCGCGCGCGCACACACACTCAAGCACACACACACACACACACACACACACAAGCACGCACACACACACACACACACACACACACACACACACACACACACACACACACACACACACACACACACACACACATGGCGCGCGCGCGCGCGCTCGCACCTCTTTGTTCTAATATTAAATTATATTTATTTTTACTCCACGCAACTACCTTTTACTTTGAATTGTCAATACTTTATTATGGGGGGGGACCTGGTGTCTAAGATACAAGTTACGACTTAGTTTAGGCTCCAGATCTCCCACAAATTATGATACTTTTATTTTGTATAAAGTAAAATGTAATATTATTATACATTGTAATTTGTGGAGATGAATAAACTAATTTTTATTTATTATTATTATTTATTAAATTACTCACTTTCCTGATATAAGTTTATTTTGTAATTATAAATGAATGTGTTTAATTACTCGTATACCGTTTCTATAAAGTACGAGTATGTAACTAGATATTGACCTACTTTCACATTAGTTCAAAGCTCACTCATAGAAAGATATAGTATACTTGTAGCAAGTGATATAATGTAGAAACAATTAAACTAAGACTACAGGATTTTTTTCCTGTCCTTATATTTGGTCTTATCGTCATGTGTGTGTATAACAGTAGTTTTATAAACTTACTATGTTTGTCATTTCTGACAAATGTTTTAATTAAATCCAAAAGTTCAGAGGATGTAACATTTATAAATAATATTTTAATAATATTAATATTTGAATATTAACGTTTGAAGTAAGAGATATATTTAATAGATCTTTAGATTTCATATTCTCTGCCTACATCATTAAGTATTTGCATGAAGAAAGTTAAAAAACGTATACTTTCAGGTTCCATACAGTATACAACACTCCTGTTAAATCAAATACCAGGATGTTTGGATTATTAAAAGATACAATACATAGTACAAGTAAGTTATGTATTTTTTATAATAATTTTCTGTAATATTGAACAAGTAATAACTCAGTATTTAGTTTAACAAACTATTATACAAATTTGTACATCAACATGTTATGATAAAAAATACCTACACAAGTAGTGCTGATAAAAAGGTCATGCCAATATAACATGACAAAGACATTTTATAAAAAAAAAAAAAACCAAATACTCCATTAAAACCATTGAAATGTTTTTTAAATCGGAGCACATATTCATGAAAGTAAGATTTGTTAGCAAATTGGTGTATGCTTTATAAAAGAATTAGATTAAAGATTATCTGAATTATAGTATACCTAGAAATTCTGCATATCAAACTTTAGTATTGCACATGTGTATACTACAAAAAGAATTATGAGTGTTAGTTATACAACAAAAGTGCTGATTATGTTACTATTAATCTTTCTTTATATGGATCATATAAAACTGTCACCCAACTGATAAAAAATTATCTATTTTTAGTTAACAAAAGTATATTATTGACATTTTCAATGTTAATATTATAATAATATTTCATTTTAATGACCATCTTTAATTTCAATTAAAGCAAATGTAATACAATTTACATAAGTCTGTTATGCCAGCTATGTACGCACCTGCGACAATATACAGTATGCATGTGTATATGCCAGAAAACTATAATTTTCCATATAAATAAATAACATTGAAGATACTACACAACACCATCTAGCCCCAAGCAGAGATTGTTCTAAAATTGTGTAATTTATTTTTAAATACATATAAATTATGCTTATAAAACATCCAACCAAATACGAACAACAAGTACATACAAGATGTACCCATGAATAGAAACCTTTGTATTATCATCACTTCAGCCATTAACAGTCTACTGCTGAAAATAAGGCTCCCCTATGCCCCTATAGGGGGAAGGAGGTCGCAAGTATTTGCCATGCTTGGCAAGCAGGTTGGCAACCACAATTAGGCTTTTGTGATATTTTAAGAGGAATGCTGCCCATTCTGATCATTAAATCCCTTACGATGCCTATGTAAAAGTAAAGGATGGTCCTTTCTAAGTAGGAACCACTCAGCCTTATTTGTATTATGTAGAAACTAAAGGCACAACCATCATAATGTGAGGCAGTAAGTTAAACGACTACAACACCAAGGCCATGAATATAAATCTGTTGATTTACAGTTTGCAATTAAAACTGTACAATAGATGATATTAGTAATTTATAGTATGTGGTGTTGAGACTAGAATTCATTAATTCATTAATGAATTCATAATTTATGTCAGCTAGAACATTGTTGCTTATCAAGAATGAATTATTTTCAATTAATATTTAATATATTTTAGAAGGTGTATTTACAGAAAAAAAAAATGTAGTAGTGTAAACAGTGACTATGACTATAACAATAACCAACCTGTGTATTCTGGAAATAATGCCTCCACAATGGCCTAATTTTGTCTTGACCACCGACATCCCACACAGTGAAACTGATGTTTTTGTATTCTACAGTTTCCACATTGAATCCTGAAAAAATATTTTAAAATACTAAGCATGTCTTATAATACATATGTGCTTTAATAACAAAGAACACTGTACTATAACACTAAGCTATTAAAATGGTTATAGTCAGTGTACCTGTTATTTATCAAATTAGACTTTTTTTTGCAACTTAGAATCACTAATCGTTGCCTATAGACATGAACAGTACCATGGATATGACAGAGTATAGTGTTTCGCCCATGATACCTCCCATGCATTGCCATTCCTGAGAACTAAGGTGTTATGCCTTTGTACCTTATAAATTCACTGTGAATATCAACATAAAAATTAAAGTGATCTAGATAAAAATATTTGCAAGCTATATAATTTATAATTTATTTATAAGCTTTAGTGATATGCCCTATTAGGTCGACCTCCAAGTGGTTCCCACTGGAAACCATCATGAACAATTCTTGTTGAATTCATCACGATAGGCTAACTGACCTACTTCATCCTCACCTATCATCTGTCACTGGTGCTCTGCTGGTGTATACCGATAGCACAGGTGGGGCTACCATTCCATTATCATCCATTAAAAAAAAACCACAGCCATACAAACAAAATTGCTTCATGGCAGGAATATGAATGGGACAGAGTTGCCCAAGCAAACTACTTATATAAAGTCTTCCTCTAGTACATCCAGCATTTTATACAATTTACAAATATGCCATTTTGTTCTAATTAAATTCATTAATATTATTTCTTTATTTAAACATGTATTATTATAATACCCTGTGTAGTAATAGGGGAAATATGAAAATTAATTTTTCAGCTATCTTGGGCATTCCCTGTAGGTTCCCATATTCTAATGGTACTAAATAGTGAGAGCCAAGAAAAAAATCATTGCATATTATGCTCATTAAGCATTTATAGACCCACTATTCCTGATTCATAGTATCCTGTGATAGTTCTCCTCATACTTAGTCTTGTTATAATGAAAAGTTTTTCTATATATTGGTTCTTTAACAAATGAAAATGGAATGGTTACCCTGCAAGCACTATCTGTATACACCGAGGAGGCACCAGTGGAAGATGATAAATGACGATGAAAGCAGGTCAGTTAGCCCGTCATGATGAATCCATAATATCCATCTGATAGGATATATTGTTAACAATAGGGTTGTTAGACCCCATTACTAACAATCCCTTCCCCCTTCTGTATATTGGTTGACCAGTCAGTTAATCGGAACATGTTTCTATTTACTTTATAAATAAACCTTGTCCCAGTTGAGCGACTACTCTACCAATGCACAAAAAAAGATTTTTTCATTTATCTTAATAATATTATAAATCTTGTTTGTGAAGATGATTGTATGTTTGCTACTCAATTATGCTTTAATGACTTGGTGAATTTGAATGTAATTTAGTGCATGGTTACATTACAACCTAACTTAATACTTTATATACTGATTTTTACAGGCAAAGCTGCAGGAACAGATCGTATCATCATATAAAAGTATGACCAGATAAAAATTTATTTATTACATGAGCATTTAATAAACATTTTCAAAATCTATATAAGAAAAAACAGAGGTATTTATAAAAAATAACAGTTAAAAACAGATAACACAAAAAAAAATTATGTCATCAAGTTGCTGTTCATATAAGTCCAAAAGAGATAAATTGGAATCCCCACCACAAATCTATATTTGTACTTAACTATTAAAATAATTTACTTTTGTATTTATAAATATTAACTAGGTTATTTTAACATAACTTTTTCAAAGTAATCGCTGTTAATACAGCACCTCAAAAAGTTGGACATATAATTTTCTAAAGAATTAATTACTAAATAATGACATCAATTTTAAATACTACAGTATGACATGAACTGTAACATCTGTTTCCACTAAACTTTAACAATATTATAAATATAATAAAGTATAATTTATATTATTAAAATAATATTATAAAAATAATAAATGCTTATTAGGAATTGATTCACTTACAAAAAAGTATTAAATTACTCACCAATAGTAGGTATTGTTGTAACAATTTCACCTAATTTAAGTTTGTATAGAATTGTGGTTTTACCAGCAGCATCCAAGCCGACCATCAATATTCTCATCTCCTTTTTGCCAAATAGGCCTTTAAATAAATTTGCAAACATATTCCCCATTTTGGTGCTTATATATATAGTCTGAAACAATAAATAATTATTAGAACATCCAGTCTGAGTCATACCTCGGTTTGCACGTTACTTCAATCAATGATAATGACATGGCAAGTAGTCGCTGGCATTAAAGCTGTGACGAAGTTGAAAAATCTGATTTGTAAGTCACAAAACCGTAAAAGAAACTATAAATAATAAAAAGCTGCATTCACTTTACAACATTGTAATGAATCTTATTGTGATCGTAGAATTCTATTACAAGAACAACCGACACCGCTGTTGGTCTCTTGCTATGGTCACCACCCTCTGTTATATCTCAATTATAAAGCAAAAAAACAACACAATATCAACTTCATTTTAATCCCAATTCCAACAATAAATTAACTGACATTATACTTACACTTTCAGGAGCAAATAACTAAAATATCAAGTAAAAACGCTTCACTTCACTGAATTCTTTACAATTCGCTTGGATGTCAAAATGGCGGCGAACGTGGAAGTTGTTCGTGGTAATGCCACGTATTGGTAAAAGTGGCCAGTATAAAATAAAAATAAATATTAAATATAATTTTTCAAATCTAATATTTTTTTACTATCATCGAAGAAATGAAATCATACCAAAATTTTGATAAATCTTGATATTGCTAAGTGTAGTAGATGGCAACAGTATGCAAATACGTAGCCTAATTGAGCGAATAAGAACTTCAAAATAAATTTTTACGAAAATACTACGCGCGAGACAAAGACACAATAAAAAAATAGTTTTTAAAATATTTTTTAAACTATTTATATTTTATACTTCGCAATAATATTGTATTGAAATAGATAACTATAATGTTGTATTTAAGCTAATGTTAAAAATTAATAATGTACACTACAGCCGGTCTATACTCTTTCAAAATAATATTAAAGTTACATTCGTTTAATATTAGTTACATAGTAATTATTAAACATGATAAATTAAAAATAATTGAATAAATTCGCTTTATGATAAAATATTATTCATAATAGCAGTCATTAGCAATAAATTTAAAATTTTGAATGTTTTTGTAAAGAACGTCTTTGGTTCAATGGCAGGTGATATACATCCTAGCAGCGCCTATCAATGTATCTATATACTTATAATAAATCTGTAGAGAGGTCAATTCTGTACATGAAATAAATTTCCAAAATAACTATCAGGGGGTGATTAGTGATCGATACTGATGCCAAAAATGCAATCAGTAAAATTTTTGTCTCCTGCTGCCTGCCTGCCTGTATGTTCGTTATAGAAACAAAAACTACTCGACGGATTTTAACGAAACTTGGTACAATTATTCTTTATACTCCTTAGCAGGTTATAGTATAATTTTCATCATGCTACGATCAATAGGAGCAGAGCAGTAAAGGGAAATGTTGGGAAAACAGGAGAAGTTACTCCATTTTTAAGATTCTGTCGCGTATGCAGCCTTAATGGTCACTTTTTTAAATATAAAAATGTCCACCCGTGCGATGCCGGTACAGGCCGCTAGTAATAAAATATAAAGTATAAAAAAAACGACTGATTACTTTTTTGTTTTAGATACTATGAATATTGACTGAACTTGCTAATGGTCCTGATATTGGTCTTGTTTAATACTGGTGAGTTCTACTACCAATTTCCTATATTAATTCTTTCTAATAATATTAATTGCAATTACTTTATTTTGTCAAATATCTGATGTGAGTTTAGTGGTAGCTGCACCATAAGAATGAGTATTAACCACACCCTGCTATAACTAAGTTGTTACATTATGATGTTATTATGTGATGCCGTTATATACACTTTGGTATACCTACTTAAGAGAAACGGGTAAATAATAAAAATGCTTGATATTTTTCTTTTCAATCAGTGGGAGTGCATCTGCAAAAAACAAAGTTTTGGAAAATGCATTTTAGTAAAGGGAATTTAGGATAATGATCAGAAAAGTTGAAAAATAGATAATATAAGCAAAAAGACAGATTATTATTATTATAGCAATATTTTTAACTTCCGTGGTCCCCAAGGGTAAAATATCCATCATATATATCTATAGCAATACCCGTCCAGTTCTTTCCTGCTATCTTTATTATGTCATCTTCCCATCTATTTCTTTGTCTTAAACATTTCTTTTTTCTGGAACTCGCCATTTTGTTGTTTGGAGAGTCCACCTTTTATCTTTGTACATCACTATATGACCTGCCCATCTACACTTCTGTTTAATACTATGCTGAAGAGAATCTTTTATTTTGGTTTTCTTCCTAATATCAGTGTTTCTTATTTTCTGTATTTTTCTTAACTTTAAGATACTTCTTTCCATCATGCTGACATGATAGGATTTTGTTCTTTATTTTTTCTGTATAGGTCCATGTTTGGCATGCATATGTATAATGCCAACATTGGAATTAAATGCAGGAATCCATAATTATCTTTTTTAAGTTGAGACTGTAGTTCCATTTAAGGATTTCTTTTTGAGCCCAATATTTCTTCCATGTTATGTTTATTCTTCTATCAACTTCATTTTTCCACTGTTCGTTTGGAAAGAGACCATTTTACCTAGGTACATTAACTATCCACATAATCTATAGGGTTCTCTTCTATTGTGATAATTTTTTTGCTGTGGTTTGTCATGATCTTTGTTTTGGTTGCATTCATATTTAGCCCAATTTTCTTACTTTCCAAATCTAGTTCTTGTAGCATTTTTTCTATTGTTTTACCGATTCGCTAAAAAGTACTATATCATCTGCGAAACATAAGTGTGTTAGTCTTTTGTTTATATATCCATATACCCTCATGGCTCCAATCGATACTTTTAAAGATGTTGTTAAGTACTGCTATGAAAAGTTTTGGAGAAAGTGGACCTGTTTACGACCTCTTCCAATTGTGAACATTGTTGCCTCTCCAGTTTGAAAAACTGTTCAAACAAAAAGACAGATAGCTAAATATAATTTACAATATATTTAACCTTAGAAATATAATACATATATATAAAGTAAATAAACTAAGAGAATTTACAACTTAATATTATTGATAAGAATAAAAGAGAAAATCAAATTATATACTTCTAAATTATAAAGAAACTATAATTCTGGAACTGATGTAGTAGAACTGGAAAGTTGGAGGGATAAGTGGGAATTGAAAAACAGAATGGTCATAGAAAAACTACGTTTAGCTAATAGGTTGAATTGGTGCAGTAGAAAGAGAATGCTCAATTGTTATCTTTAATCTATGATAGGAACTTAACCCTTTGACATTTTAACAGCATAAGGGTTGTACTCGTTATAATCATAGTCACCAGTCTTGCGTAACTTTCATACTAGATTTTAATATAATTTGGTCAGGAAATATAATGCCAACATTTAATTAAATGATGAAATGACAATAGTGCCAACTTAACTAACAAAAGTACTGTCAAATGTCATGCAAATAGCTGCTGACTGCCACCTAAACTATTTGTGGAATAGTTTTAGCTTTATATTTCATATTTCTTTTTATTTTAATTTGGAAATTACGACTATATGTAATTAATATGGACTATATTACGAGTCTTCGCTACAAATTGACCAGATATTACGAGAAGTGTTTAAAAGTTGTTTACTATCAATAATATTACAAAATTGAGATCTCAAGGTGATATTGTATAAAATAATATTTTAGGACTGTTATCTATTGTTTTATATTTGCTAAAAAAACATGTTCATTGGAACATGCATATTGACTTTTATGATTTTTAAAATTTATATATTTCTTTTATCACATGATTCGCGTTTCTACTTTCAAACTATAGTAAAAATTATTATATGACAACTCTAAAAAGTACCTGTTATGGCGGCGACTCTCTTTCAAAGATTGTTTAGTGGTATTCAAACACCTTGATTCTTTTGTTCTACTTCACAGAACTCTTTCACCTTCAATATCATTTCTCGAACCGAACTTTTTACAACTTTTGACATTAAACAATCTTTAAAATGAACTAAGCTAGTTAAAAACTCACAAAAATCTACCAAAACAAACGAACTTGATAATATCGACGAAAAACAACATGGCCGATTTTAGAACTAAATTTGACAAATTTAGTTCCAAAAATCACCGCGGGACTTCTTTAATGAGAAAGTATCTATAATTATAACCCTATTCGTTTCCATTTTGTACATCAAATGGCCAACATAACGAGAAAAGTAGGAATTTTTTGTGTAGATTGGTGAGATATTCCTGACCAAATTTTACGTGGCTTATATGAAGTGCATTCTCTTATCCTCTGGTTATATTTTTTTTTTATTGCCTATCTAATCTGTTGTACGACTGACTATACCAGACTAAATTTTATTTTCTTTTACTTTAGATTGAATGCCAATTATGAATATTATTTTTGCTTTTTTAAATAATTAATCACACCTGGTTAATGTTCCTAAACATTATTAATAAAAACTGTTGAAGTTATAGTAGAGAAGTAAAATATTATTTACTTAACGATGAAAGAGGTTTATGAGTGGTTAACAAAACCACCAAAATATACAATTTTCAGGGTAAATAAATTAAAACAATTCAACTGTGAAGAACTGAAAAAGATTTTTATAACTGTAAGAAAGTTTTTGACTAACAAAGTTTTTTTATTTGTAAATTTTAAACTTTCTTGAGATTAAAAAAAAATCTAGTCTCTTTTTTACGTTGACTAATTTTTAAAATTTTTTATTTAATTATGTTATTGTACAATCACTTATAATATCCCTAAAAGGGATTTCTTCTAGTCAACCTTGAGAACGCGAATAAGAAGAAAGTACTTATAATATTTGTATTTAAAGTATTGTATACTATAAATAATAAATTATATTATTAGTAGCTATATAGTTAGTAGCAGAGTATATATATATATATATATATATATATATATATATATATATATATATATATATATATATATATATATATATATATATATATATATATATATATATGTATATATATATATATATATATATATATATATATATACCAGCTGAATCAGCAAACATTGTTTTACCATCAACATTATTTCTAGAACATCATAAAAATTTATCATACTATAATTATTATATTCAATTGCCATCTTGCAACCCTTTTGCGGCATATAAAAATCGCGATTAAAAAACAGGGGTGGATCGTAAAAGGGTGAAAATTTGAAGTTGTATGTATGTATGTATGTATGTAAACAGTATACTCTGTTATGTCCATGGTATTGCTCATATCTATAGGCGACGGTTACCACTTTCCATCAGGTGGGCCCTTAGCTAGTTTCCCATTTTAAGATGTATAAAAAAAAATTTTCAATCATAATAAAAATTAAAATATTAGTCCAAAAAATTAAAAACAAATATATAGGATTGGGTGACCCTTATCATTGAAGGGTATAGAAAATAGATGATGGCCGATTCCCAGACCTACTCGATATGCACATACAATTTCATAAAAATCTGTAAAGCCGTTTCTGAGGAGTTTGCTAACAAACATTAGGATCAAGAGATTATCCACACCTGAGTCAAATATTTTAAATATGTCTAAATTTAATATTGTAAAGAAAAAAGATTTCATTTTTTGTTAGTAATGGATGAACTAAATTATACTGGATTTTACAAATTCTTTTTACTATTGAAAGTTACTATAAATATCCACAATAAAGACATTTGTATTCATAAAGTTACATTACAATGAGTGACATAGGCTGTATTTTTTTTTTTATTTAGAGATCTACTTATCTACCCATGTGACCCATCTCAATTTCACATAGGTAGATACCTATGTGAAACTAAGATGGCTTGCTAATCCTCAATAAATACTAGTGATAATATTTAAAAATTATAGAATATTCTTTATTTACTTTATATTAAAAGCAGTTAATTCTGTTTAAATATTTATTACTAAATTTGTATTTTACAGCAAAGTAAAAAATTAAACATCAATGAAATCCCTAATATCTATTTCCTAAAACCTGACTGTCTGATAATTGAGCAGTGGTCTAGTGATATACAATTTGAGAATGCAGAGAAAGAAATTATTGTAGATGTCTCATGTGCAGCTGCAGTTTTGAGAGGTGCACATGTTTTTGCACCTGGTGTTATGGGTCTTCCTGCAAGTATGTATTATTTGATTTTCTTTAAAGATTATAATTTATTTTATATCAGGGCTATTCTCTAGTAATCAGTCTGGTTCTATAGTAAAGGGTGTATGACTCGAACAACCTGAGCCACTGCCATTTCTTACTAGTATCTCCTCCACAACTGCAGTCTTTATAATATATCCTTCAATCCTTTTTTACTACCTTCCTTTATGCACTCTCAATGTACTCTTTTATTTTCCTTAAGGAAATTAATTAATTAATAGCTCCATAGAATCAACCCCAATGTATTTAGCGTCAGCCAAATTCGAACTCATGATCTTTGAGGTCTATATGATATATCAGTAGACCATAGACTACATGCACGGACATGGACACAAAGTTCTAACAATTGATGCAATATAAATTTTTTTACTAAGCTTATCGCCTGTACTTTACATAACGATGCTACTAACGCATGACGACGGCGTCAAGGGGTGAATATCACGCCACGCCTAGGATTTTCTATCTTAAACAAAAATATTGATCCTTTGAATTGGTCAGATCTCAGATTGATTAATGAAAAATTCAACATCCAGAAGATCTATCTCACGAAAGTCGATACGAACTTTTTATGTGCTTGTTGAGATCTAAAAAAGTTCAAATAAAAGTATTTGAAATTTTTATGCAGATCTCCAGTTGGGTGAAAGAGTAGATATTTATGCAGACATGGATGGCCAGTGTAAAAGAGGTTTAAAAGTTAAATACAATGGTAAGAAGATGTATGTAGGAACAGGATATCTGAAAATGTTACGATGTGATTTATTCGACAAGGGTGTCCAGCCAAGGTATCTACTTCAATATATGTATTTATTTTTTAGGTATCTTAAAAAGGGGATTTTTCATCGGTAATTTGCTTTTCTTTATATAAGGTGGGTGGACCATGGAAGGCTACCGTGATAAATAATCAGTTTTTATTAGTTCATTTACTGTATAACTGAAAGAAACAAATTATTAATTAATACTTCGTTTTATTGTGTATCAGATAAATTACTTTTTTTAATTCTATATTTAATCACTATTTATTAAACTTAACTTTTATTAAACTCTTCCAAACAGCCTTACAAGGAACAGATACAAGGCCAATATTGTAAATCACTCATTCAACTTAAAGCTTGTGTTGTAATAATAAAAATAGCAGTTTTTTTCTGAAACTAGATAAAAAGCTCATCATTAAACCGAAAAATTAAATGTTTTACATATTATAATTTTTTTTAATAACTCAACAAACATTCCTTGGACACCATCGTATAACTAAGAATATATAAATGGAAATTATTTAAAAATTGTAGTAATAAGTATTATATTGATAACAAATAAATAGCCAATGCGTTTTAAAATGATATCATAAAAAAAATAATGGCCTTATGAGTCCGTTCTTTGTAAGGCTGAAATGGTCAAACTAACAATTCTCATCTATGATAACTTTTTCTTATATTAAATGTAATAGTAGACACATTATTTAACTTTCCCGGTGCATATTTATAAATAAAAACTATGTCTTCATATTTTTATAAATTGTAAATGTAGATCTTACACCTACCCACCATGTATCCTAGCAAGGCCAATAGTCAAATTTTTGATTGACCTTATAAGGACAACCGGCTTTTATTAGAACACTTTCGATATTTTAATTAATATCGAGGCCAAATTCTTTTCTTTTTTCTTTAGTACCATAACAAATCCATACAAAAAAAAGATAATATTAGGTTTTTTACATAAAAACTTATCTTTTGCTGTGCGCGCGAATTACAAATGATAATGGTATACGGGAATACTACATAGTTAGAAGTAGACAACGCCACGGGAAACGGATAATTTAAAATAAATTATATTATTTTGTAAAATATTTGAGTTTTGTGTTCCAAACATGAGTTATTTCAAATATTGTTTTGTTTAATTTAGCTACCATTAGTATTTGTGCGACTGCCAACACTCCATATTAGCCATCAATCTCCGAATACCATTTTATCCACGCACGTTTTAGGACAAGTGTTTTACTTCTAAACTAAGTATCTTCTGGTAAATTAATTATTCACAGTTCAGATTGGTAGTCGGACACATACTAAATGGTAGCGGAATTAAAATAGTGTAATCAAATAACCAGTGATATGAATTTCAAAATATTACTTAGTTCAGTAAAGTATTTCCGAACATGAGTATTTGTGTTCTGCAGTGGCATAGCTGTCGAGACCTTGCTTCCAGGATCAAGACTTCCTGTTATAAATGAAACTTTCTTTAATAAAGGCGAGGTTTTGCTACAAAATTTACCATCAATAGTATGTGGGTGGGTTGTCAACGCACAGCCTAAAGAATATATCCTTGATATGTGTGCAGCCCCTGGAAACAAAACCACACATCTAGCAGAAATGTCTGATAATCAAGTAAGTTCATAATAGTCACAAACCTGTATGTGTTGACATGAAAAAATACACCTTCTGTAACTGTATAGCTAATAGTCAACAAAATATAGCGTTTAATTTCAACTAGTTAAACAATTTTTTGTTCAACTTGTAAATCTAAATTTACAGATTGAGCGCTTAATTCTATAAGACCCGATATAAAGATTGGGCCACCATTGACTGCTCGTTGCGATTAAAATGGACACAGTGCAAGCACAACTGTCAGTCATAGCATGTATACGTTATTGCGTGTATTTGCAGTTTCCATCTTTGTAATTGTGCCTGTGCCGAAAATGATTTATGATAAACTTGTTTTTTTAATATAATACTCGTATATCTGCTTAATTTAATATTATTATTGCTTTTGTTTTATTTAAATACATTAGTATTTAAAGATAATCAAATTTATTCTGGTCAATTTACAGGCAATTATTATAGCTATAGATAAGACTGCACAAAAAGTTGACAGGATTAGAGAAAACTGTGAAAAACATGATGTAACATGTGTACATGTTTACGCCTTTGACTCAACGAAATGTTATTACGAAAATAGCGAAGGAATACAAAACGGACCACCATATCCATCTAATTGCTTCGATAAAATACTTTTAGATGCACCTTGCAGTGGGTTGGGACAAAGACCTCAGTTAGTTAACAAAATGACTCCCAAAATGCTGCAATCATACAAATTTGTTCAAAGGAAATTGATAATCACTGTAAGTTAACATTTATACCTTTCCATTTCAATGAAGTATCATTTCAGAAGATTTCAATAATTTATTTATTTTTTATTGACCACATTGTAAAAAAATGCTCGGTACAAAAGGCGGGTTTAAAGCATTCTCTTGCAGTGTTAATGAGTTGATTGCCAACTATGAGATAACTCGTAAATTGCGTTCCTTTATAGGACGCCAACTACGAGTTATCTCGTCCTGTGTTTACTTGACATTTTTGTGCAACTACTATTAAACTCGGAATATATCAGAGCTAATATTAATAGATGGTTTCTGGGAAAAGAACAAAAAAATCAATGCTGGCTTGCATCAACAGACAATTTATTAAAAAAAAACGAACAAAAATGTAATTACAATAATTACTTAAATTCAAGAAATAAAATAATATTTTAATATTTTTTTTTATGCTTTTTTAAGGAAATTATTCACTAAAATTGTAGTTTTTAATAATATAATATTAAATATGATTATCATTTAAGTTAGATTTCTGAAAATTGCCATGGCAGTTAACGTGTTAGTTTGTAATGATATATTTAAAACAATTCGAACATTTGTGTATTATAAAATATTTGCAGGCTGCAGAATTATTAAAAGTAGGTGGAGTGTTAATATATAGTACTTGTACTGTAACAGAAGATGAAAACGAAGGTATGGTTGCGTGGACTCTTGATAAGATCCCATGCTTAAATCTGATCCCTGCGGAACCGCTTCTTGGCGGACCTGGTTTACCGAATTGTGGACTGGACGACAGCCAAAGGTAAAGTAATGAACTATGTATAAAATCAATTATTCTATATTTAAATACATCAAATTATGTGTCTAACATAACAAATATCAAACGTCTTCTTAGACAACTAGTTGCATACCAAGACTTGTTGATAGCAAATTGCGAAACTTAATTGTATAAACAGCTAGAGGCTTACTTTTTTTGGTTAGGTTATATTTCAACTTTAGGCAATAATGGTTGTGGAATATTTAAAGGTAGGATTTAAGGAAGTTGCAGTAGGGGATCAATGGGTGGATCGTATCAAAATGGGCTATGGTTGGGGATGAGAGGAATGGAAGGGGGATAAACTAATGGTATGAGTGTGGGTGTCGAATGTGATACTATATGTTAGTTAAACCCAAAATAGGCAAAGGTAGAATTAGATCTTTCAGTGGGTAAAAATAGAATAGTAACCCTGTCTGTTCTTTTGGGCACCAATGAGGATTAATAGATAAGGATGAAGTTAGTTCATCGTGACTAATAAATCGGGTATAAATGTCAATTCTTTCCAGAGGAAACCGCGTGGAGGTCGATCGGAGAGGATGTATTGTTAGCAATGGACTTCAATAGTAGGAGGGTGTATTTTTAACAATGATAGTCCCCTTTGCTAAAAATTCCTTCTCATTATGCTCATTGTGATGAAGTCTCTACATTTTAACAACGATAGTTTCCAGAAGACACCGAGTGGAGATCAACCTGACAGGTTACGAGTATTTTGCTATCAAAGGGGACATTACATCTCATAACTAATATAATTATTATTAATTTTTTTTATTATATTATTTTTCACCTATATTATATTTGTAATCGTTACACCCATTTACAGTGTAACAATTTATAGATAGAAGTGTAGCCAGTGCTATATGTAATGTGTAATATAAACTATGCTGTGTTATAAATCTATTACCTATAATGTTTTGTTTCAGATTGATGGTACAACGATTTAGCCCAATAGACGACCCACTAAGACCTGTTAAACATATTTACAAAGATACTATTGGCTTTTTTATAGCAAAATTTATAAAAGTTAAATAGTAATATGTATATAAATAAATAAATAAGTATAATATATTTTATAATTGTCTTTTTACTACACCAAAAGCCTCGCGCAAATTTTATCTTCCCACATCCGATTTAGTTCTGACGACGGCCCGTTACTGTCCTAATGATAAATGGCATGAGAAAGCACATCTAACCTATAAATTGATAATTGATTGATCTCCACATTCGTAGCCTCGCAAAAACCTACTGCCTCCGCTGCCCATTACTAACAATATACCCTATCAGAGGACTTCCATGATCCTCCTGGAAACCATCGTACTGAATCCCAGGCGTATTTATCACGATGGGCTAACTGAATTGCCTTTTCATTCTCAGCTATCATCCTTCTCTGGTGACCCACCAGCGTGTACCGTTAGCGTAGACAGGATTACCATCCATTATCATCCATTAAAAAAAAATACAATTAAAATTATATGTGATCTGGGCCACTGCTTATATCGTAACTTAAGATATTTTATGGCTCACAAGGGTAAAGCCGCAGGAAATATCTAGTGTTTAAATATATGTAAAGTAAACTAAAATTTATTTTTGCATTTAAGATTTAAAACATACAGGTAGGTGTCGAATCAGAGATAGTGATGTTGAACTGATAAATTGACATTGACATTTTGTTTTGATAGAACATGACATGTAGCTGTTAGAAGTTTGTCTACAAAAATAACCTATGAATTACACAAAGGGATCTGTCACTTGAAGGTGTTAGTGAATACACGTTTTTTGTTGGAATCTTTATTATTTAGTGTTATATTGTGTTGAGAATCCTTATATTTATTTCATTTTGTCCTGTGTTTGTCCTATTTTCTTAGTGGTGTGTGGTAAGTAGTTTCTTATGTGTATATTCGCTCCACCTCCGTAATTATGGAGGTGAGCGGTGATGAGGATCCTCCCGATATAGGAGGTATACCTATAGAACCTATCGATGATGGCTTGGAGCCCTCTCAATCCCTGGTAGGTAATACAAGGAAAAGACGAGCGTCTTTGGATCTTGACAATAGGGATGGGAAAAAAACTAATCCACCCTCAGAATCAATACAATTTGTTTACACCAGACCAGGTTTTGAGAGTGACTCAAAAGCAAAGTATAATCCCCAGGATGCGGCTCCTTATTCCGTACATATAACAAGAATAGAACCCGATGTTTCAACTGGATTATCAATAAAACTATTAAGATTTGCGCAGTTCTTACACAAAAATAAAATCACAGGAATCAAGAAGGGGGGTATCAAAGCATTAGGTCGTAATAGGATATCTGTTGAATTTAAAAATCATTTAGAAGCCAACAATTTTGTTGAAAATCCACTCCTTACAGATAATAAATACTCTGCTAGCATCCCAAGATTCCAAATCTCCCGAATGGGGGTTGTTCGTAATATACCTAATGACTGGTCCCTTGAGGAACTGGTCCAAAATATCGATACTCCTCCTAATTGTGGACAAGTGATAAGAGCTAGACGATTAAATGTCAAATCTCATAAACCGGACAACTCAGTCACTTGGATACCCTCATCTTCAGTTGTATTGACTTTTGAAGGGCAGGTTCTTCCAGAAAAAGTTTATTGTTTTGATACCTCTCTCCCGGTTCTGCTATATAGGTTACCTCTTATTCAATGCAGAAATTGCTGTAGGTTTGGCCATATTCGCACTCAGTGTCGATCTAAACCTAGATGTTATTATTGTGGTGCTCAACATGCAGGTGATGCATGCGATAAAAGTAAGGAACAACCACATTGCATACTCTGTGACAGTGATAATCATGCAGCTACAGAGTCGGTGTGTCCCGAACATGCAAGACAAAAAAGTATAAAAATTGTAATGGCTGAAGAAAATATAAGCCACATGGAGGCATCTGTCCGATTTCCTTCTGTAAAGCGGTCATATGCTGATGTAACATCGACTCAACAAAATTTACACCAACCTCAAACCTCTCATCCTCTAAACTATCAATTCTCAGTTACATCATCTCCATCCTCATCACCCAGAAAATCATATCGTGAAACAGTCCTTTTAACTCCCCGACCTCGTCCCCCCATGGGTAAATCGTATGACATATCTGCACATAATAATATTACTCAGACACCCAAATCCTCTCAACCTAATGGTTGTGCTGCTATAGGCCAACAAAAATATGAGGAAACAACTCCTCTCCCTACCCCAAATGACAATCTTGTGGAACTTCTTGTTTGTACCCTCATTAACATTATATCAAAATTTTCAGATGCATTACCGAACAATGTCCAACAATTACTGCAGCTCCTCCTCTCCTCCTTCTTAAAAAATGACCCTAAACCTCCTACAATGGAATACTAGGAGTATCTTAAATAAAAAACATGATCTTATATATTTACTCAATAAATTTAAACCAGTGGCATTTGCCATCTCGGAGACATGGTTAAGACCTGGCACTACATTCAGAGTGCCTGGCTACTCATGCCTCCGGGATGACAGAGCCGACGGATGGGCGGGTTCCGCTCTTCTGGTTACAAAATCTACTACATTCTCCCAAATCCCCATCCCCTCACACAGTCCAGAATTTCAAATAGTAGCAGTCAAAACCTTTGGTATTACCTTAGTCTCTATTTATATCCCTCATCCAAATCAATCCATACTCTCTGAACTTCAGTCACTCCTATCGACTCTCTGTCCTCCTTTTATTATCATGGGAGATTTTAACTGCCATCACACATTATGGGGCTCACAATCCACTGACACAGTTTCTACATACTTGTTAGATCTACTCGACGACATTGACCTCTGCGTGCTGAATGATGGATCTAGTACCCGTAGAGTATCCCCTCTTCAAAACCCCAGCTGTCCTGATTTAACACTTGCATCCCCTACCCTAGTCACTAAACTTACATGGCAAGTCCTACCTAATTCATATGGTAGTGACCATATTCCTATCTTAATTACATTCTATAATACTTATTCCAAACCTACGTCTGTCCCCAGTCCACTTCTAAAATATAAAACAGATAAAGCTGATTGGCATAAATTCTCCAGTCTTTTAGAAAATAAATTTTGTTCCCTCCCTGCCATAAGTATAAATAATTTTCATGAAACCTACAATAATTTTGTTACTTTTTTAACATCAGCAGCTAATGATTCGATCCCCCTTAAAAATTCTACTCTTAACAAAATCCCTTCCCCCCTTGGTGGGACTCTGAGTGTACAAATAGTGTCAAGCTGCGAAAAGAGGCTGAAAGAACTTATTTATCAAACTTGACGATGGATAATTACCTCTCCTATCGTAAGATAGCTGCTCGCACAAAGAGACTACTCTCCAAGAAAAAATCTTCAGGATGGCATAGGTTTTGTGAATCCTTATCTCCAAGAGCCTCCCCCTCTCTTGTATGGAATAAAATCAATTCATTTCGCAATGGAACTATTAATCATAATTTAACATCGAATGATCCCTCGTTATGGGTAGATGCTTTTTTTGATAGGCTTGCTCCACCTTTTGTCCCCTCAGAAGATTCCCTTCCTTATGCAACTCCTCCAACTTCTAGTGGTGACAGAATGGATGAACCATTCTCGTTACCAGAATTGATTTGTGCCCTTGATCATCTCCATGACTCCTCTCCAGGAATTGACGGCATCCCATATTCTTTTATATGTAATCTACCCATGTCAGGTAAAAAATACTTTCTGGATATTATTAATTGTGTCTTCTTATCTGGAATAGTACCTGAATCTTGGAAATCCCAAATTATAGTTCCCATCTTAAAACCCCAAAAAGATCCTAACGATCCAAATTCTTACAGACCGATTGCCCTATCTTCGGCCTTGGCAAAAATTCTAGAAATTCTCATTAAACATAGACTTGAATGGATTTTAGAAAGTAAAGGTTTATTATCCAAATTACAATTTGGATTTAGACGTGGCATGGGTACTACAGATAGCCTTAGTGTCCTTATTTCGGAAATACGCCTTGCTTTCTCCTGCAATGAACACCTCATAGGAATTTTCCTTGATATCTCGTCTGCGTATGACAATGTCCAGCTTCCAATACTCAGGCAAAAGCTGCAAAATCTGAGTATTCCTGTGAGACTGACTACTATCATATGTAATCTCTTAATGGCTAGATCGATTTCCTTGCGTGTTAATGGCTCTCTTTTTCCTTCAAGACTGGTCTGGAAAGGTCTCCCACAGGGCTCTGTCCTTAGTCCCCTTTTATATAATATCTATACATCTGACCTTGAATCCTCTGTTACTTGTTTCTGCAAAATCCTACAATATGCGGATGACATTGCTATGTATATCGCCTCAGATTCCTTTTCTGACTCCTCTTCCCGCCTAAATTCCGCGTTGTATTACCTCAATCAGTGGCTAGATGATCATGGGCTAACACTTTCTATACCAAAGTGCTCAGCGGTCGTTTTTAGCCGCAAGAGACAAATCCCCGTTATTGAACTCTCTCTAAATAATGAACCTATCTTAGTACAAGATAAAGTAAAATTTTTGGGTGTTATCCTGGACTCAAAATTAACAGGCCTGCATCATTTAAGCTACGTAGTAAATAAATGCGAAAGTAGTATTAATATCTTAAAAGCCCTTTCTGGTGTACGTTGGGGTTCTCATCCATATAGCCAAAAACTCTTATATAATGCTATTATCCGAAGTCACTTAGACTATGGCTCATTTCTGTTAGAACCTTGCAACAAAATTGCTCTAGCTAAATTTGACAGAGTTCAAACTAGGTGCTTACGTATAATTATTGGTGCAATGAAGTCATCTCCAGCAAACGCTCTGCAAGTCGAATGTCTAGATCCCCCTCTCCATCTACGTAGACAATATCTCTCAGACCGCTTTTACCTCAATATTGCCCAATATAACTCCCATCCTCTCCTTCCTATCTTAGAGTCTCTCTCAGAACAAATAAACCTATCAAGTTACTGGACCCATAAAGAACCCCCTCCCATCCTTAAGAGCTTTACCAAGTACAAAAACCCGATCTCACTTATTAAAAAAATAGACCGTAACCCTCTTTTCGAATTTGATTATGATTCTCTAATTTATCGTCCTAATGTAATTCTAGATTTTGGATTAGTAAAACATTCACCTTTTGCTAATCAAAAGTTTAACGCTATTGTCGCGGAAACATGGCACGACTGGCTTCTGATGTTTACAGATGCTTCTAAAACTGACAAATCAGATCATGTTGGAGCCGCTGTATGGATCCCAAAATATAACGTTGTCCTCAACTTCAAATGTTCTCCTTCATCCTCAACATTTACTGGTGAATCCATAGCTATTATGGAAGCAGTGTCCTATGTAGAAACACATAAATTAAACAAAACCCTCATTCTTTCGGACTCCCTAAGCTGTTTACAAGATATTTTAAAACTACCTTTTAAATCCAAAGAAAACTTTTACATAACTTTGCAAACTAAACAAATTTTACATAGGTGCTATAAGTCCGGTATTAATGTTACCATTGCGTGGATTCCTAGTCATTCAGGAATTATTGGGAATGAAACAGTAGACTCTTGGGCCAAAAATGCTATCCAACATGGTAATAATTACAATTTTTATTTCACTCGAGATCTACGTTGTCAGGCTAAACCACACATGTTAGAGGCTTGGGATAACTTGTGGCAAAAAACTAGACAATCTAAAGGCAAGTATTATGGTAATATCCAGCCCTTCATCCCTATAAAACCATGGTTTGCTACTCAACGAAACTTAGGTAAGTGGGTTACATCAGTTATATGCCGCCTACGTTTGGGACATGTCTGCACACCCGTATTTTTATACAAAATCCGAATCCAAGATCACTCTCTGTGCGAATGTGGCTTAGCGGAAGGAACGTTAGAGCACCTATTTTTTGAATGCCCCAAATTGACCCTTCCCCTCTATGACCTGTTGCCTCGTACCTTTCCACGTCCTGTAAATATTCCATTCCTTCTTACCTTAGTCCACTCTCCTTTGGTTAAGGTACTGGCCAAATTTATATGTACTAATAATATAAAAATTTAAAATATAAGTATATGTCACTCTTTACACTTCTCGTCTTTTCATTCCTTCCGCGTATTGTCTTTGCTATAATACACTCATACACACATATCATATTAAATTTATTTTTCCTTTGCATGTATATAACATATTTTGTGTTGTCCTCCTTTCCAGAGAACTCAACTGAACGATCATTACTGAAAAATGTCATAATATAAAATTCACGGAGTCTTCTCTAACCCTGACATTGGCAGAAAATCACCGTTGCTTCTACGGTGGAAGCCATATTTTAAAAAAGAAGAAGAAGAAGAATAACCTATAATTTTTTTCAAATTATAATACAAAATACAAACTTCCATCTGTTTAGTAAATTTATGTTTTTAAAAGTAATTTAGAAGTACATCTTTACAAGTTACTCTTAACACTAATTACCTTATTGGTAACAAAAAAAAAATGCATTTTATTTACTAGTTTTTTTTTAAATTTTAGTACCAATCATGGGTAAAACTTCTAAGGATAAACGAGATATATACTATAGATTAGCCAAAGAAGAAGGCTGGCGTGCACGAAGTGCATTTAAACTATTACAAATAAACGAAGAATACAATATATTTGAAGGTGTGTTGCGAGCAGTAGATCTTTGCGCAGCTCCTGGTAGTTGGAGTCAAGTATTAACAAAAAAATTGCGATGTAATACTGCAAATGCGGATGAAGTTAAAATTGTAGCCGTAGACTTGCAGGCAATGGCAGCTCTACCGGGTGTTAAACAAATACAAGGTGATATAACAAAGTTGTCTACAGCTAATGAGATAATAAAAGAATTTGAAGGCATGAAGGCAGATTTAGTAGTTTGTGATGGTGCTCCAGATGTAACTGGATTACATGATATTGATGAATATATTCAATCCCAACTTCTTCTTGCAGCATTAAATATAACTACACATGTTTTGAAAGTTGGGGGTGTATTTGTTGCCAAAATATTTAGAGGTAAAGATGTCACTCTTTTATACTCTCAATTGAAACAATTCTTTAAATATGTAACAATTTCAAAACCAAGAAGCTCAAGGAACTCCAGTATAGAAGCTTTTGTTATATGTCAGAACTACAGTCCCCCTGCAGATTATGTACCTACTATGTCTAATCCATTGTTAGATCATAAATATTGTGATTTCAATCAGTTTACCGGGCCAAACAGGTTTATTGTGCCATTCAATGCTTGTGGCGATTTAAGTGCATATGACTCTGATACATCATACCCATTGATATTAGAAGGCCAAACAAGCTATGAGTATAAGGAACCAGTACAAGGCCCTATCAATCCACCATATAAAGAAATTTTAGATAAAACTAAAAATATGAAAATCAACAATAAATAATATCAAATACTTTTAGTTTGTTTGTCTATAATTTATATGTATTTTACTATCCATTATTAATTTTATTTTTTTCTTGTTTTTCTAATTTTTGTATTATAAACTAGGATTGATACTAGACATATAACATTGTTTGATGTTTAATCATCTTCAAAAACGAAATATTAAATAGCTAAATCTATTTCGTTTTCCACTAAATACCTGTTTAGAAATATTGAAAATTTACAGATAATGCATATTTTACTTTAATATGAATACTGTATTATTATGAATAGTATGCAAGTAGTAGATGCATAATAGCACAATGAATTTAGACATACTCTACATTTACATACACTACTTTTTTTGCAAAATCAGTTGTTCTTAAAAGGGCTATTACAAAATAACGACAATAAGTTTAGATTATACACATGAGTTGCACAACAAAATTTCTGCAACTTTACATACTGTTTATATTTTTATTCTAGAAAATTGTGATTATTTTTATTCCACTAATTTATGAATAAATTTATTTATTATTATGTATTTTATAGCAAAAAATTTTGTTGCATTTAAGAGAAAATTTGAAATTATTTCAGTAAGATTTGGTAAAAATTTGGCTTCAATTAAGATCAATTTACTTAGGTTAGAGAAATTAGTACATAATAATGAACAAAGTAAACATTTAAAAACACTCTTTTTAATGTAGGAAATCTATTTATATAATTTGGATCAAAATGTATATTAAGTCCTTAATAGTTTAGAACCAGAGCTCGAAAACTCCACATTTTCTTTGTTTATGTAGTGAAGACAGATAAAAGGCCTTTATCTTTGTATTATATTATTAAATATCAATAATTTATCTGTATTTAATAATGTAGTCCATTATATTAGTATGTTTAAGATCAAGGATTTCGCTAAATTGATCTAGTCTGAACAATTATAGTAATGATATAATAAGAATAAAAATATGGAAATAATATTTCAATAAATAATTGTTAAGTGATTGAAAGATCTCCAAGCGGGTTCGCATATTTTGGAGAAATTAAATATAATTTATTAAGTACTAGCAGCCCGTCCCGGCTTCGCACGGGTGGACATTTTTACATTTTAAAAAGTGGCAAATAAGGCTTCACACACAACGGAAGCTTAAAAATGGAGTAGCTTCTCCTGTTTTCCAAACATTCCCCTTCACTGCTCTGCTCCTATTGATCGTAGCGTGATGAAAGTATACTATAACCTACCCAGGAGTATGAAGAATAATTGGACCAAGTTTCGATAAAATCCGTCGAATAGTTTTTGTTTCTATAACGAACATACAGACAGACAGACAAAAATTTTACTGATTGCATATAGTTATTTTGGAAATATATTTCATGTACAGAATTGACCTCTCTACAGATTTATTATAAGTATAGGTATAGAAAAAAAAAAAAACAACTAGTAATAAGTAAGGTATATAATATTTTTTGTATAGTATAACTTATCACATTTTTAAAATAATCACAATTTGTTCCAACAAGAAAAACTACAAATGCTATATTCATTGCTTAACATCATAACTTTATTATTTTTACACCGCCACCATCATTATTCATATTTCGAATTCTTATTTAAGCTTTAAGACCTAGTTTTGCTAAGATAATAAACTTAGCAAAGTGATGTACCAGTTTGATAAAATCATTTTTATAATACTTGAATATCACAAAATACATTAATTTGTACTTCTATTTTTTTAGAATAAATATTGTGACTGTCTATATTTTTATTATTTAAAAGTAATTGCAATAAAATGCTAAAAAAATTTTAATACTAATAAAGTTGTATACTTGTTCAATGCTATTATTAAACTAATAAAAGTGGTGTATTTTGATAATATGATTTTTACGGAAACTTTATGGCAAAAAATACATTTTACAAACTATCAAGCTGAACCCATAGCCCATCTTCGGCTTTCAGCAAAACTGCACGCTTGCTGAAGTTGATGGGATCTCTTGTTTTAGGGCATGTTGTAAACTTGAAATTCTTCAAAAGTGTAACCATGGCTAATTTAGCAGAAAACATGGCAAAACGCAAACCTGCAAACAAGTGAATTTTGTATTATAAGGCTGTCCATAATTATTTTACGTAACAAGTCTTCGTATAGCGACGGCATAAAAGCATAGAGAGCGTTACCTTTATTCAAATAGCAGTAGTAGCAATCAATTCAATGTGGATAAACAACCTTATTTTTTGAAAAAAAAAGAAGTAATTCTCAATTTCTTTGTATTTTTAATTTTAAACAATATTTTCGGTACTTCTAAACCGATTTTAATACTTTTTCTATTATCATTATTATATTACTATATTAATTTTATCGCGATTATAGATGCCTAAGTTAATTTTAAACTTTCGCGTTGTTGATACATATTTTAAATACACTATTGGGACTCAGAGACACGGCGTGGTGCAATCTACATCAAAACGTCGGCAATAAAAAAGCACATATGTAGGTACTATTTATCTACCAATGTTTTCATCGCGTTAAGTCCTGATAGTGTATTTAAAATTTTAAATGATCCGCCTTTAATATTTTTCTCAATTTTGAATGAACATTTTTTTTATCAGGCGTTATTCTTATAATTTGGATAAAATAAAGTAAAAAATTACCTATACAATTTCTTGGTCCAACCCCAAAAGCTAAAAACAAATGTGATGGTCTCGTGTTCTTTTCATCACCCATAAACCTTTCTGGACGGAATTCGTGTGGTTCTGGATAGTGCTCAGGGTCCATATGTATACCATAAATCGGTATCGCAACGACGTCGTTCACATTAACTTGTACTGATGTTCCTGGGAGAATGTATTTCTTTACACAAGTTCTGTCCACTCGTGACACTGGTGGGTACATGCGTAATGTCTCTGGAATGAAATGTTTCCCGTATAAATATAACTCTTTAATAAAATTACTAAAGAACCTGCAGTAGGTACATAATGAACATTTTTTTTTCGAGCTAAATTGTTAACATTGTAGATTATAATTAATACTAATATATAATATAATAAATATTCTCACTATTATAATCCCTAATTGGGTAACATAACATACATGCCCCCATTTCGCCGAGCATATCAATGATATTAGAACACATTGTGCCATAGTTTTTATTTTATCTACTCTGATGGAAAGTAGTAACTGTCATCTATGGAAATGTAAGTCCCAAAATAGTTATACACTGTTGCGCTCATGGTTGGTTAAAAACTAGGATAGACGAGAGAAGAGATTGTTAATAATGGAGACAAGCAGGCCTATTGCTACCCTATGAAGTCGACCTCCATGCGGTTCCCCCTGGAAACCGTCATTGTCTATTCTTTCCTCTCTTACTTTCATCCTCACCTATCATACCTGACTGATAGTCCGCCAGTGTATACACTTAATAGGAAGTAAGGTGTAGTGGAAAAGAATTATTATTAGTAATAGGATTTAACAGCCCTATTGCAAGCAATATATCCTATCAGATTTACCTCCACGCAGTTCCTCCTAGAAAACATCGCGGTTAATTCGTGTACAATTCCTCACGATGAGCTGCCTTGCTTTCATTTTCTCTTATCATTTCTCACTGGTGCCCCGCCAGCCGCCCTCTAGCCCGCCAGATAACGAATACAGAGTTACTATTCCCATTTTCACCCAATAAATAAAATGACCTAGGGGTTTTTTTTTCCTTGTCCAGTAATTTCAAAACACTTATGTACAAGCATTCATATAACTAGATACTACCTATTTACCTAATAAAAATCCTTCCAGGTATGTGAGTTGTGATAAAAGATCGTAAGTTATGTCTTGTCCATCAGTCATTTTAACGACATGGTCGCGGAGTTTTTCTTGTAGTTCCGGTTTGGTAGCCAAGACGTGTATCGCGAAAGACAACAATGTGCTGGACGTCTCATAGCCAGCCAACAGGAAAAGTAACGATTGCGCATCTATGGTGTCATCATCTAAATCTGAAATTCAATACCATAGGAGTGTACAAGCAAACATGTGTTTTAAATATAAACACACAATTACCAGTTTATATAATACTAGCTTTTAATAAAAAGTAGCTCATTTCGTCCGTCCCTCATAAAGTGTATCAAATTTCAAAATGATTTGTGAACTCGTTGAGGCGCTATGAGGTAACTAACAAACATACTTAAATATTTAGCTTAAAAGTATCCATTTACATAATAAAGATACTGTTATAGCTACATCATAAACGATATAGGTAATACAATAGTAATCCAACACAATACTAATAACAATTGCTTAAGTTTAGCACTTGATCCACGGTGTTAATGGAAAACTTCAAAGGAAAACAAAATGTAAAACAAGACGATGGTCTAAAAGTAAAGTGATCTATTTAGATGTAAAGGCAATCTACCTACCTAAGAGGTCGTTTATCATTTAAAATTGGCGCTAGATACACTTTAATGTTCTTATATAAACTAACATATAAATATGAGTATTTACATAATAATTAAATATACACATACATTAGGTATTCTACAATTACGTATTTAAGATTGATATTTGTATTGTAAAGTAAACTGAGTTACCTAATCAAAGAATACTTAACAGTTCCAAGTATTCATATATTTGTTATAACATAAACTTTTCTTCTGATATTATACAATACTTACTCTAAAATTAATTAGAGGGAGGTAAAATAATCAGAATTGTAGTAGTAAATCTGTTTACTGTATTTTTGTAATTGAACAAATTTATTTTTTATAATAACATAATCATTATACTACTATTACACTGGGAACATATCTATGCATTTATAATGTAACTAACTCTCCTAAAACGTACATTAACCTATGTAGTTAGTACATTAACGTTGTAATAATTCATCAGTAACCTTTAAAAAATCTGAAGACAGCGTAGTAACGTAGCGTAAATATAGTTACTACATTTTTATTTTTTTTTTTTTGCAAATTTATTTTTGTACATACTTACATAATTTAGCTTTAGTTCCAGAGTCCTTTCTTTCTGTTTCTGCAGCATCAATGAGCAATTGTAGAAAATCGTTTTTCCTGCATCAACAAATCGAAACATTCAATCAATTCATCTATTTTTTATTCGTACTAATGTTGGACATTAGAATATTGTGTTATAGTCGAATGAATTACTTGTTGTTTAAATTCTAATTAGTTTTTATCAAATAGACTACTATGTGCTCTTCTCTATACTATGTCTTCTTCTCGATACTCTGGAAGAAATCACTTCTAGCGATAAGGCCTCTAATTGTTTTCTCAGTGTAATAATTTCTTGTAATTGCTTATATCTATAATATTTTACTACTGTGATCTTTGATACGACGACGATAATTTAAATAATATAAAGATAAGACCCTAACTGAATAAGATATACTTGAGGTTTCTCCGAAAGATCGAAGCCAAAACAAAGTAAATTGCTAGCAGATCAAAACTGCGAACATTATCAAAAAAATTACAAGCTAAAATAAACATACCACGCCGAAATAGATAGAGTAACTGGTAATAACTGGAAACGATGGAGCAGAGATTGCACTCTTCGATGGTGACGTAATGTTTAAAAACAAATGTACGATTTAAAGTATCTAGATAAAAATCACTAGAATGGTATTTTATTATGACAGTTGTTTATGAAAAACTAAATCAGTAGATTGGTATTTTATCATAAAACTTATATATAATCATAGGTACCTAGGTATCTAATATCTAAATAGAGATGGATAATGTCGTATGACAAATGTCAACTCGACACAATCCTTCAATCTAGGGATTAGATAGCAATGACAATAATTTACAATTCGATATTCATACTCATTGCGTACCACCGTCCGTGCAATTATAATAACTACAAAATGCTTATTAATAGGATTCTTCATTATATTTTAAAAATATATTTCTTTGTTAATATTATAAAGTTTATGTAGGCTCTTTGTTTAAGTTTAGATAGATTTTAATATCAAAACAATTTGGCTCAAACTTACAAATCGGTAAATATATCGAACGCTATTATGTCAATCACTAAGCTCATTGCTAAAACAATTTCGACATTTAAATTATTGAACTTGATCCAGCTTTTTATATTAATGCTTTTAGTATTTTTTTTTAAAACAACTTAGAATGGCAAACAATCTGACGGCCCACTTGATGGAAAGTGGTAATCGTCGCCTATAGACATGAGCAGTACCATGGACATAACAGAGTATACTGTTTCGCCCATGATACTGGCCATGCGTTACCATTTCTGAGAACTAAGTGTTATTCCTCTGTACCCTGTAAGTTCACGCCATATCCCACTCTTCAAACCGAAACAAAGCCATACAACTGTTTTACAGTTAAAACACGAATGGGACAGAAGCACTCAAGCAAACGACTTTTATACAAAGTCTCCTTAAAATATCTATTTTCTTGTGACGTTTAACAATTTATTTTTTAAATACAAAACCAAGATAAACCATTTGAGACTGATTAAAAAAATATCGCTCTCAATTAAAATATAAATATTAAATAGGATCTCATTATCCGAAGTATAATGAGATCCTATTTAATATATTTAATATTAGGATCATGGGAGCGAATGTACTTGATTTAAACTTTGATTATCTTATAATCACATAAAAAAAAAGTTTATGTTCCTAATTATTAGTTATATTAATTGCAAGAAATGTGACTTTTATTAACAATTTTCTTTAGTAGGCTCCCATTCCCTACTCTTCCCTACACCTGTATTTGGATAGGTAGTATGTTTGATGATAACGAGTGCAGTGTTTTTTTCGCAATTTCTTGTCATCATCATAAATATAACAAACAATTAACGTATCTCTTCGTATGAGAATGATATTAATATATTTTTTATTACTATATAAGTTAGTCAGACGACTTGGAACAGAATTTTAAATCTTTCAGTGATGCATTGTGCGTTTATTCCCTTAGTCGCCTCTTATGATATTCTGAGATTGAAAAGAAATGCTTAGAATTGGTAGACATTTTTCTATACAAGGTAACCAAGCAAGCAAGAGCCTGACTGATGGTAAACAGTTACTGCAGTCTATGGACGGCTACAACACTATCACGTGCGTGTTATCGACCCAAAAGAAACTTTAATACACCCTTTTTGAAAAACCCCATATCTTTAGAGAAAACCAGATAGAAGAGATTTTTTTTAATGGGTGAAAATGGATTGGTAATATCGCCCGCGCTATCGGTATACACCGACGAGGCACCAGTGGAAGATGATAGGTGAGAATGAAAGCAGGTAAGTTGGCCCACTATGATGAATTCGACAAGAATTAAACATGATGGTTTCCAGGGGGAACCGCATGGAGGTCAACCTGAGAGGGTATATCGCTAGTAATGGGGCTATTAGACCCCATTACTAACAATCCCTTGCCCCCCAGGTAGAAGAGATCACTGAGGCCAGATCATTTCGATTCATCAGTCTCACTTCGTTCCTTTTAAAAATTTTGGAAAGACGATGTGACAAAGAGATTAGAGGTTAAATCTCCTTACGCAATCCTTTACATCCAAACCAAAATAAGTATGTTGAAACAGTGAAGGCAAGTAAACAAAACAAACAAGCAATGTATTGCAATCAAAGCAGTCAACCGAAGGAGCATTCAATAAAATAAACTTTGCCAGTGTAAGTACTAACTACACATGGAGTAGACAACACACATAACATGCTTAAACAAATAGCTTTATAATTCACTATAAACACTACCATACCAGTGTAAAAAGATGCTTTTTTTATACAACTTAGAATGGCAAACAAGCTGATGGCCCACCTGATGGAAAATGATAACCGTCGCCTATAGACATATGAAATGAATGGGGTCTTTCACCAAAAATAACTGTATGATTGTACAGAGCTGTGATAAGACCAATGTTTGTCTATGGTACGCTGGTCTGGCGGTCAAGGTATACAAATAAAAGAAGACGAAAGGCATCAATCTGGAGTACATGAATTACGCATATACACGGATGGCTTTAAAACTGAGAACGGTTCAGGAGCCGGATCTTTTCACTGGACCTTAATATAAACCTACACATACTGCTTGGCGAACACAGCTTATATTTTATCTGTTTGAGACAGTTCTATATGGAGTTGAAAATACTTACTTGTCTCCCGTCAATCTTCTTTCTGCTTTGACCATTTTCAGTGTCTTGACCAATTCTTTTATACTTTCTTGATTCAAAAAAGAGATGTTCAAATATTTTAATAATTGAGGTGCTAAAACCATTAAAAAGAGTAGGAAAATCCTTTTCATTTTGGGCATCTCGTTAAATTTTTCAGCGACCTGAACAAAATATGTAAATTTTTAGAGAAACATACACATGTAACAAATCTTGATGTTGCCCATACGTAATACTAATGTACTGAACCTTAATAAAATATGCATTTTCGTCAGTAAGAGCATCGCCTTTGATGCCAAACGCACATGCTCCTATTGTTTCTAAAGTGTAGTGCCCCAAAGTATCTTTCATATCTAAATCTTTCCCATCTGTAAAAAATAAAATAAATAAAACTTTAAGACGTAACATAACTTGAGATTTCGGAAGACTTTAATAAAGAAAATAAGTTATTAAAACTAATTCAAAATAAACAGATATCGCATAATTTACATCCCACAAATGATGATATTTGAGAACCTGCTTCTTTTTGAAATCTTTAACTAAACAGAAATTAACATTTTAATGAAATAATTTAAAAGTTCTATGCCAACCTATCTGTGTCAATAAAATAGCAATGGGCATGTAAGTATTAAAGATAGGCAAAAATAATCCGCTGTACATAAAATATTCGTACATTGTAGTGGTTTTACTATTTATCTGCAATAAAAGAACAGTGCAGCAACAATACCATTCACCAACTTACCATACTGTTTTAAATATTCTACCAATTGCTTGCAGCACAATTGTAGGAGAGGCAGCATATTCTTCAGTCGAGCTGAACTAAACGCAGGAGTAATTATGCTGCGTACACCTTTCCATTCTGATCCCTAAAGTAATGAATTTGCCTTTAAATGTTTATTTAAATACTACAAAAGTGGTAATATTGCACACGTCTGTTTGATGGAAATTATTACATTACGGGAGGAAAGTAATTATTATTAATAAGTTTTAATAATACTAACAATATACCCTAATCTGTCGACCCCCACACGTGTTCTCCTGAAACCCATCGTGGTTAATTGTTAAATTCGTCATGATAGGCAAATGACCTGCTTATCATTCTTACCTCCTATCATCATCACTGGTGCCCGCCAGCATATACCGATAGCGCAGACAGTTACTATTCCATTTTCATCCATTAAAAAATATCATCAAACCTTACGTCTTGTACTAACCTCCCTAAATTAAGTCTTTAATTAACAATGTATGTCAATGCATGTACTACGTATCAAGTGTATTCTTATTTTGGCAAAACACTGATATTGTACTTTAGATTACGTTTATTGAATGTAAAACAAGACTAGATAATATCTAGGTATATACAATATTTTACGTTGTATAATAATAAAAAAGAAACGGTATAAATAGATGGACTTTATGCTAACGGAATCTCTACTAGATAACCTTTGGAAAACGCAAAGATACCTACTCGAGCCAGTTTAGAAATCTACTAATAAATGTTTGTTAATTCCTCATGCAAAAACTATTTTAATGGCATTTCGTACACAGGATGCTTGTGGGTTGTTGTTACTCAATATGAGTAGTGGATAGTACCCAAGTAGCTCTATCACTCCCGCGGCGACGTCACTCCATAGTATCTAATTGATTGGTTGATGTAAACCGAGTGCCATAGAGTTCAATTCTGAGGTGCCATTTCTTTAAATCTAGCTCTAAAATTAAAATTCTAAATCTTTATTCTAAGGACAAATGTGAAATAAAGTATACCTAATTTAAATCAAAGAAATTTAGTTGATGGTCCATGAAACAGTAATTTCGTGAAATTATTGAAATATTAGATTAAGCAATCGGATTAGGAAAATGGCGTCTCAAAATCAGTTACTCCTTTTATTAATATATTATAATTCGTACGGGGCTTAAAATGAGAATAAAAAATGTATAGTATTAGCATTTAGTCAGTTTGCAACGTATTAGATAGATAAACGAATATAGTATGTGTATATATATATATATATATATATATATATATATATATATATATATATATATATATATATATAGTCTTATTCATAAAATTTATAGATCTTTTATAAGCCTTCTAAAACAAGAAAATTACTTGATTAAAAAAATCTAAAATACACTATGTCTGTAATAACAGTTCAATAGCGACGTCCCATACTCATATAGACTGTAATAGAAGTGTTATTCATAATCGCACTATAGCAAGTCAATAAGGTGAAAAAGGTAAAATAGAGGTCCTATAAAATTATAGTAGACTACTGCCATTTTAATCTTAAAATGAATAGTATTAAATTAAAACAATATATTATTTTACAGATATAAATGCAAATCTTTATTTTTTATGATCTGAAATATGAATCAGTTGCAAATCTGCTGTTAATTATGAAGAAAAACTTATGATATGCACACCCATCCTAAAAACGATTTCAATCAACATTGTGTTTGCTTAACCTGATCCATATCCATTAATATTATCGTGGTTTATATGTATATTCATTTTTAAAATAAATATATAGCAATTATTATATTTTTTTAATTATTATTACAAAAATATAATAGTAGAAGTGGTATATTTATCAAGATTTTTATTAAAATCGCATATTTTTTAACAAATGACTATAGCTGAATGTCAATGATCTGTGGGATTCCACAAGTATGCAAACACAAACGTAAATCCTCAAATAAAGCTATTTATAGTACAATATATAACGTTTTATTATAAATGTTATTTGAAATTTTAACTAAAGAGTTCTTAAATTTATAATAACATTTTTATGAATAAGACTATAAAATTTAACGCCAAAAACAAATCATAGATAACCCATTATTTGCCCCCTTCATTGTTGTGGGTGTCGTAACAGTCGACTAAGGGAATCTAATGGTCGAAAGATGGTTAGCAGTGGCCTTCTTTAAATATCACCAAAGCCTAACTACGGTTACAATCTGTCAGCCAAGCGTGGCAATTTTTGGCAGAACCCCCCATAGGGAGACCTATGTCCAGCAGTGGACAGTTAACAGCTAGTATGACCAAAGGAGTAAAAAAATTAGAAATTCGTATTCCTAATTAGTGTAACCAAAAAATTAACACGGAACCTTCCCCTTCTAGATAAAAGACAAAAATATCTATTGATAATATACATTTTCGTTCAAGTTTGCACAAAAAAGAAAAAAAAATGTTTGACATTGCTGTTTCTTTCTATTTCATGTACGCGGGCGTCGGCCCATACAAAGCACATTAGGTATGTCTTTTGTATCGATATGAACTTCTACAAGATAACACCTAGGTTCAGCGAAATATTTCATAATAATTTTATTACTTTATGTTTGTCTGTATGTCTATCCAATCTCGCTTCCGAGACCCCATTATGAGAGAACTTTACACAAACATGTATAAAAACAATTATAATTAACTTGAGTCTACTTATCTTTTAAGACTCAATATGATTGATTAGATGAAGTTTTAGTTCCTTTGAATTCTTTTTTAAACTTTCAAAATAGAGTAGCGAATATCAGATAATAATTTCAAAATGTAAACCGAATTCCTTTCGAATTACTTTTCAAGGTGGGGCTAATTAATTAAGATACTAATTTTGTCGAAATTGAAATTGTAAGTAAAATTAATTTTACAAAATTCTTTATTATCGATAATTACATTTAGAATTATAACTAAAAAATCAGAATCACCACAGGTAAAGTGTAAAACGGTATAAGTTTGTTACCCTTTGGAATTGGTATAGAGTATAGACAATAACTTGTATATACGTATATTTATAATATGCAAATTTTATGTTTAAATTGAATTGAGTAACTGGGTAAACTGCAGAATATATAAATAATTAAATCACTATTAAACAAGAGTGCAACAAAAGTGAGAAATTATAATGAATTGATACAGTCACATATTATAAAAAGGATATTTTGTTAATAATAACATTTATTTTAAAAATACACACAGTGTAAAAAATTATCTACCAGTCAACATTATCTATTGATGAAACATAACAAACAAATAAATAGAGTAAAAAACAATATAGGGTATTTACATATCATGTAAATATACATATATATATACTTATATAAAATAATTGTGGCTCCTCAAAAAATCCTCAGAACAGTGAGCTTGTATAAAGATTCCAGGAAGCTTCTGTGCTTCTGAACGAAGCTTGGCTGGCTATATTAGCTACGACTCATACATACAATGGACTAAATAAAAGGTTTAGTGTGAAAAAAAAGAGCTTATATAATACTATTACTATGTACGTTATACATAATATATATTATATAATAATAAATAATGTCAAATGAAAAAGCTTTTAGATACATAGAATACCAAGCAAGAAATACCAGCATCAGATATAACAAAATATCAAAAATGTATTATATTTTTAAAGATATTAAATAAAAGGGACATAATTTATGTTTTTGTGCTAATTTGTTTGGAGCAGATTTAACATCAAAAGTTATTCAACATTCCAGTATTTGATCCAGAGCAAAGAACTTAGAGATCAAGCCAGTGTAATGAGCAGGAACATGGAGCAGAAAAGTTTTAGATGACTGAAAACATCTGTTACTGACATGTCCATGAAACTTAAATTTAGACTATTAATTACTATTTATTTTGACAAAAAAGTTGCTTTTATCTAATTTTAAAAGGCACTTATGATAATTAAGATTTCAAGAAAAGAAGATTTTTTTATAAATAACAGATCATGGAGCTGTAGACAGAAAGTTACAATTGAAAAGCTATTTATAATAACATAGAATATCTTACCTTCAAAATAAGCAAAGAACGTTTCAAATAATTTGGTATTCTGCTATTAATTGTGTTTCTATCCACAAAACAATCAAAATCACGTATAGTGATAGCTTTGATTAACTCTGCATCCAAAATGTATAGAATTGGTTTTCTTCCTTCAAAAAATCCTATAACAAACATTAACTCAAATACAATGGTACCCCGATATATGTGTGCCCAAATATACAAGTGTTTTGAAATACGAGCCACCGAGCAACCAATATTTTGCTTGTGAGATTAAAGCAAGATTTGAGATACAAGGAATCACACATTAAACAGTTTCTCCCACCTCTGACTAACACTTAACAAAAACAACTGAGGTGGTTTTTTGGGAGTATGGATTAATGGTATTTCAATTAATTTCAATGGGGAAAATTGCTTAGAGATATGAGCAATTTGATGTATAAGCAAGGTTACAGAACAAATTAAACTCATATGTTGAGGTACCACTGTATATAAAATATTACAGTTCACTATAATCTTAGGAGCAAAATAAAGGTAAAAGTACAACAATATTGCTCCTTTCCACATGTTTACAATATTATTGTAAATCCCATAGTTTAATAATAGCATTGGAGGTAGATACAATGAAGCCTTCACATCTCTATAAGTAATAAATATTGAACTCATAAATATTTTACAAACATAATACATTTTACTAATATGATTGTTTGTTTTAGAGAACTCAAAGATAGGAAAGAAAGGTGGAAGAAATACAATTTGAAAACCTATGAAAACTGGAAATCTACTATTTCTTTAAAGTATATAAATATAGAATAATACTGGACAGATGTAAAATGTAACTCTCACAAAGAAATGTTAATTATTTAAAATTATTAATTGAATTAATGATTATACTATTATTACCCATATACCAAATACACTACTAGCAAAATATAAGAGACATTTAATAAATTCCAAATTTTTGGGTGATTTTCAACAAGAGATAATTTGGAGAGAAATACTATATAGGCTATACAGAAAAACTAAAACTAAAAAAGGAAATTGTAGCTCTGAGTGTCCAGTTTTCATATCTAGACAGTAAATTTTTGTAGCATGGGCAGTTCTTAAGTAATCATCTGGAAATCAATGAAAAAAGATATATTTTTTCTGCTGATTTCCAGATTTCTCATTTTTAAAATGATCTGTGGACTTCAATTTTTTTTATAAAATTTAATAATCTTTTATTTGAACTTTGGTTGACATCTGTATGATTATTTGGTGCAGAGTTATTGTAGATCAAAGCAAAAGTTCATTTTAAGTTAAATAATCAATTTCTCAGAAACAAATGATCATACAGAAAATTAATGTAGAGTTTTGGAAACTGTGAAACATTCTCTATGATATGCAATTAGTAGCTACTGATAAAAAAAATTTCGAAGTAATAATGTTGACTGAAAAAAAAGTTAAAATTCACAAATTTAAAGATATTCAAAAATTTTCATATATATTTAGATATAACAAATAAACGAAGGAAATCATTGGTAATTTTTTAACATATATTACATGGCCTTAAAATACTTATTACTTAGCACTTACCTCCAAAAGGATTTCCTTTAAAATAATTGTATATTTCTAATTGAAAAGCATGAAATGATTCTTTACTTCTTATCCTTTTTCCCATGTTTCCAACAAATATTGTGGGTTTCATATATTTAATGCCCCGCTTTTCAAAATAATCAAAAGTGCTAGTATAATAAAAATAAATAGCAAATATTATCGTAACAAACAATACTACTGAACAATCTTTCGTTATAAAATGCAGTATATTTTTTATTTCCTCAAAATACTCCATATTAAAAAATATATCTGTAATAAATATTAAAATTGTAAAACACAAACACGTAGCTACTCGTATGTGCGAATTTGTTGATAGTACAATTAAGTTTGAAACTTTTAATGAAAGTATTTTCTATTTATACCTGTACACTAATATTTTAAATCTTTCTTAACTATCAAAAATAAGCGTTGTAGTAAATAACTTTGCTACAGAAATAGAAATGAATGAAATACGTATAAAATTTAAAATTAGCAATTAAATATGACGGAGTCTAATTTGTTTACGTATGTTCACAAACAGATTAAAGAGACTATGTCCAAAGGGTATATAACCAAGAGAAAAGAGACGGCACTTCATATAAGGCACGTAAAGCGACTTGATCAGGAATATCTTACCAATCTACACAAAATCCTCCTTTTTCACTATATTGGTCAACCTGATGTTCAAAATGGACACGAATATGTCTATATATATATATGATACTATACTTAGGTAATTTTTTGATATTAATAAAATGTAAATAGTAATAATGTAATTTCTCACTGAAACATGAATCATGTAATAAAAGAAATATATAAATTATATGTCAAATTGCATATTTCGATGGATTTTTTTTTAGCAAAAGTAAAACAAAAGATAATATTGTCAAATCTATTTATTATTTTATACAATATTATCTTGAGGTCTCAATTTCATAATATTATTGACAGTGAACACAAGTTTTCAACAACATTTAATATTTGGTCAGTTTCTAGAGTCATTACTTCGTAATAGAGTCAATATTAATTATATTATAAATGAATAAATGTTATGAATTTTACGAATTAAACACTAAACAACGACAACTGTTAAAATATAAAAATAAAATAGAACCTTAAAAAGCGCGTGCTCTTCTCGATGTTTTAGCAGAGTTAATAATAATGAAATTACGTAATTGTAATTTCCACGTCAAAATAAAAAGAAATATACAATATAAAGCTAAAACTTTTCCACGAATAGTTTAGATGGCAGCCATTTGCATCGCATTTGACAGTGTTGTTGTTAGTTAAGTTGGCACTATTGTAATTTCATCATGTAACTAAACATGATGCTAAGCATGATATTTTCTGACCAAATTCATACATTTAAAACTAGTATGGAAGTTACGTAAACTTAACTATTCTATATATAAAGACGTTCACAGTACAGACAAAGTAGGTAAATCATCACCATAGATTACAGAGACTGTCTTAGGGCAAATAATCATTACGTCATAAGAGTTGACACTGGCCTTATATCCATGAAACTCGAAGAAAATAAATTTAAACGCATATTATTTTTTAGAAGTAATAACACAATGAAAATTATAATAAAAATAGAAAAATAAATTAATAACCACAGTTTTTTTTATGGGTGAAAATGGTATGATAACCCCGCCTGCGCTAACTGGATACGCTGGTGGAGCACCAGTGAAGGGTGATAGATGAGAACGAAAACAGGCCAGTTAGCCCATCATGATGAATTTATCAGGAATTAACCATGATAGTTTCCAGGGAGAACCGCGAGAAGGTCGACCTGGTTGGGTATATTGCTAGCAATGGGATTCTCAGTCTTCATTACTAATAATCCCTTCCCCCCAAATAACCACAGTATTGCACCACTATCTATATATGCCTTCATCCAATGTATTGATGTCGACAGCTGCTATACAAACCTAGCAAGTTCATAATATAAAATTTTTAAATTTTATGAAAACGTACAATAAAACAAGTACCTATATTTAATTACTTCATTTTGCTCTTCTACAACTTATTATCAATTTTTTTTTGTTATAAAATTGTTTTATATAGGAAAACGTCATTCCAACAACAATGTTCCAACGTTCCAAATGTCGCAGGCCTGATAATCACTACGTTATAAAAGTTGTCAGCGGCCTGGCGGATATCTACGAAGCCTGGAAAATGAAATGCATATTAATGCTAATGTTATAAAAGTTGATCAGTCGTTTTTTTGTTATAAAATGGCGGATATTACGAAGCCTGGAAAATGAAATGCATATTAATGCTAATGTTCTTTTTTTACCTTTTCGAAGTACACACGTCTACACGTCAGCCATTTGGTAAGCCGCATGCTTGTTTGCCCTCTGTGTTATAAAAGTAAAATATTCTCATCATATCACCATTAGACACACTATGGGTAAGGTAACTTAAAAAAATAGTTTTTGCAATAAATACTTATATTTTATAGAGCCATATAGGTGAATTTGTTGGCAAAAATATATTCCAGGGGTTGGTTCTGGGTTCGCTATAATACGAGTAGATGTATAATTTATTTTCTTAGACATCTCTTTGCAATGCTTCGTCCGTATCCTGAGATAGACTCCAGACAATTTCGTTTTACATATAAATACCTAAATATAATAATAAAACCTAACCTACCTATCCTTTTTTGAGAATAATAAAAAAAATATTAAGTATGTCAGACAAAATTTTGTAGTTTCAATTACAACAAATTTTTCAAAATTGTTTAGTACCCATAATAATTTTCGATTACAAATAAAATTTATTGTTTTAAAAATGGGTAAGTTTCAAATGCCTACAGTACAACAATTTTTAAAGAAAAAGGTAAGACAATTGTACTACTCATAAGTATAATTAGTATAAGTAGAATTGGCTTAAATCAAATTTTTCCTTTTAGGTTTAATTATATTTATAAGTACATTAATTTACAAGGAGCAACTGTTTTTTTTTTAATGGATAATAATGGAATGGTAATCCCGCCTGCGCTAACGATATACCCTGGCGGGGCACCAGTGAGGAATGAAATGTGAGAATAAAAAAGCAGGTCAGTTAGCTCATCTGGAATTCAGGACGATGGTTTCCGAAGGGGAACCACGTGAAAGTCGACCTGACAGGGTATATTGCTAGCAATGGGACCGGCAGTCCGCATTTCTAACAATCCCTTCACCCCACAAGGAGCTACTTGCATATTGCTAATTCGTTAATATATATTTTTAGACAATTTATGGACCTAAAAAGGACCCGGTATGGATTTACTTAGAACGGGAAATGCAAGAAAATATTAATAAGAAACCTTACAATGAAAAAGTAGGTGCTTGGTTAAAATTCTTGAAGGATTTAAAATATTACCTTTACTGTGAAGGTAAGCAAAGAGTCGTAGATAAAAAAAATCAAATTGTCGTTCATACAATACTTTTATTGTTTTATTTTTATTAGCTAAAAGAAAGGAAAAGAGATTGAAGACTGAAGTTGGACCTTCATGGTACTGCGAGCTATCTAGTAGCCAAAAAGAGGTACTCAGCAATCTTAAAGCTAATATTCATCAAGACTTATTGGAGGATTTGCCTACAAGGATACGTAAATGTCTGTCAAATCTAGGAGTTACATTAAAAATATCAAAGTCTGTACTAATACAAGCAATGAATGAATCTGTAGAAGATCCTGGTATATTTATATGGAATTTATATTCAGCTATTTATAAAAAACTGCCCAACGAGTTAAGACCAGGTTAGTGTTACGATTATATATATATACTTACAATTTAAAAAATATCTGTTTTATTTTAAAAATTTTAATATCTTCAAGATACTTCAGCAGAAAAAATGCAAAACTTCCTAAATATACTCGAGTTATAACTATAATATTACGATTTTTTTTATCTCCATCAATTCATAATTTCTATCGGACATTCAAAGGTTGACTGGAAGAGATCCTTTTTATAGGACAAGTTCGACATTGTACTCATTCTTAAGAAGTCTGTATCCTATAATTTAAGACTTTACTGTAGAATAAAGTGTTACAATCAAACAAACTGCTATTGAAATATGTATTAGCCAACCTTAGAGACAACAATGTCCAAAACTACGAAAGTCGATAGTTATATATATCCCATCAAAAACACAAATGTGAAAAAGATAACCAGTACAATATTAAGAAAATGCGTGGTTATCGATTTCGCCGGTTAAAGAATTGAAATCGAAATGGGCGCCAATTCTGTAGATAATCCTGAAATTTATAAGAATGTACAACATAATAAAATAAAATAAACACAATTTTTTGTTTCTTTTTTTCTTTAATAACAATGTTTTCTTTTTAAAATTTAAATTTGAACAGTCAAGATACATTAAGGACATAACCAAAATATTCGTAAATTTAAGCTCAAAATTTAACTAAATTTTCACATACAAGTTATATTTGGCTAATCAGTATATCATTTATTATATATTAATTAGGCTATTTCCTTTGCATATACGTATTGTGTAAATAACTATTTTTCATTGTATGGTTAACATACAATTTTCTAAAAATTTGGTTTGGTAAAAACTACCCAAATCATCTGGAAGTGGGTTAGGTTTTTGTTCTATATGTCAGTCAATCAATAATAAAAATGCCGATTTTGTAATGTTAGTGTTGAAGTATAGTTTATTGTGAACTTTATATAGCAACCCTAACTTTGTTTATGGTATTATAAAAATAAAAAAAAAAAAAACTTCTTGTGTGTCAATGACAGAACTGAAAAAGGTTGTTTTTTATTTCTCTTCTCCATCGTTAATAATCCATTTAGTTGACTTGTAATAACATATTTATTTGACGTGTAATAACAATAATAATCATAACAGGTTATGGCCCAGCCTGATTTTCCATTTATATGGTATTGTAATTATTCGTACAAAACTAGAACAATTTCCACAAGTCACAGCCGCCATTTTTTTTTTCCGGTTGAAAGTTTTTTGTTCAGAACTTCTTGAGGTACTTGTCAATAATGTCTGTGCGATTAGATAAAATCACAGTGGACAAGTTGGAGGGTGAAGGTAATTGGATTTCATGGAAATTCGATATCAACTTACAAATAACCCTACATGGAGTTGAGGACCATGTGACCGGTGTAGCGCAACAACCAAAAGATGGAGAAGAACCAAAGTCTTTCAAATTATACCATGAAAAGGAATCAATTGCAAGGTATTTAATAGGTTCAACAGTAGGCAGAGAGCCGAAACAGCACATTTTAACCTGCAAAAGTGCGAAAGAAATGTGGGATACTCTTCATGCTGTGTATGAACAGAAAAATGAAAGAAGACTGGATCTTTTGTACTGCGAGCTATTTACGTATAAAAAGTTACCAGAGGACAGTATAGCTACGCATGTCTCTAAGTTACAAAGACTGTATACTCAATTAAACTTAGAATTGAAAAATGAAGGCAGTACTTTGCCTCAGTCCTTACTTTTAAACAGAATACTGAATACATTGCCTGTTAACTATCTTGAGTTCAAAAATGCATGGGAATCTGTCCCTGCATCGGATAGAAATGTAACCACATTAATGGAACGTCTTCGCTTACATGAGCAAAGATTGAATGAAAGCAAACCTGAAAGTGAAGTCGCTCTAGTTGCAAAGACTGAAAAGCGTATATATAATAAAGGTCCAGTTTGTAATTATTGTAAAAGAAAAGGACATATCAAAAAACATTGTTTTAAATTTAAAAATAAACAAAAATCTGATTCTACAAATGGACATGCTTTTGTTGCACATAGTACCGTGATAACTAAAGAGGACTGGATAATAGATTCTGGTGCGTCACACCATATTACTTCACATAGAGAGTATTTTGCTTCATATGAACAATTTGATAACCCAATTCCAGTTTATCTCGGAGATGGTAGTCAAATGATGGCTGTAGGATTTGGCATCATAGACATAAAAATGTTGGTTAATGGAAAATGGGAGAAAGGTCATTTAAAAGATGCTTGGTTTGTTCCTACCTGTAAACAGAATTTATTCTCTTCAGGGTCAGCTTTAAAAAATAATTTAATTGAAATAGGTGATAAAAATAAAAGAATATTTAAAAATGGCAATAACATAAAAGCAGTTGCAATAAGAAATAAGGGAAATATGTACAGATTGGAGATGAGGGTGATATTACCTGAAAATTATTGTATGCTTAGTAGTCATACGGCAGACTTAAATATCTGGCATGAAAATTTAACTCAGAATTCCTATGTCACCAGAATATTAGACATGTTGAAAAATTCTTAAAACTGAATAATATTCCATTCCAGCCAGCAGAAAAAATTGTTTGCGATGGGTGCATGTTTGGTAAAATGTCTCGCTTGCCTTTTCATACAAGAAATATCAGAGCACAGGTACCAGGACAAATTATTCATGCTGATGTCTGTGGCCCCATTGCTGAAGTATCTGTTGGAGGTAGTAGATATTGTATTGCATTCAAAGACGATTACTCCAAATACAGAAAAGTATATTTTATAAAAGAAAAGACAGCAGTTTCAGAAGTAACAAAGAACTTTATTTTGGAAGCTAAGACAATAGGTCATACAATAAAAGAATTAATAACTGATGGAGGTAAAGAATTTATAAACAAGGAAATGCAAGCCATATTGTCATCATTTGGAATTAATCATCGCATGACCATTCCATATAGCCCACAGCAGAATGGAGCTGCGGAGCGTGAAAACAGAATATTAATGGAAGCAGCTCGGAGTATGCTACATGCAAATAATTTTGATAAGCAGCTATGGGCAGAAGCTGTTAACACTGCTGCATATGTTCTGAATAGGACTGGTCCAACAGGTGTTGATGACTCATCTACACCATACAGTTTATGGTTTGGCAAAAAAGCTGATATAAGTCATCTGAAGATATTTGGCACAAAATGTTTTATTCATGTACCTGACCAAAAGCGCAGAAAGCTAGATAAAAAGGCAATAAAGGGAAACTTAGTTGGATATTGTGGAGACAAAGATGGGTATAGAATATGGACAGAGGACAGAAAGATAGTTTTATCTAGAGATGTTAAATTCCTACCAGAACAAGTATGTGTTGATATTTTTAAACAGGATTTAACAGAGCAGCAGTCTAAACATCAGAAGGAATCTTCGAAAAATCATGATTTTGTGATATCCTTAATTCCTGATGCTGATGAAGTCAACAGCAGCAAAGTTCAGAAAGTGACAAGAGGACATGCATCATCGTCTATGGCCCCAAGGGCTGTCACCGCTGATCCAGCTCAAGCATGTGACCAGGTTCCAAGTTCAGGTAAAGATTTTATACATAATTCATGTGATAGTGATCCTGTGTTCTTAGACTGTGATAATTTATCAGAAAGTGAAAGTGAGTCAGTGATAAATGTGGATCCATTGTGTAGTGGTAACAGTAATGGAAATGTCGAAAGTGAAAATTCTCAACGATATCCATTGCGTAATAGAAAGATAAAGGAGTTTCCAGACTATCATGTGTATATGTGCATGGAATCTGATGATGAATGTTTACATTTTGATGATTTTGATAATTTACCAGCTTGTTGGAAAGATGCTATTAATGCTGAACTTTCATCATTGGATATTAATAATACTTGGTCTATTGTAGATTTACCAAAGGGTGTAACCCCTATAGATAGCAAATGGGTATTTAAAATAAAGAAAGACAGTGACAACAATATTGTCAAATATAAGGCTAGGTTAGTTGCATTATATGGGTATAATCAAAGATTTGGTATTGATTATCATGATACATATTCACCAGTTGTTCGTTCTAGTGCACTTAGAATTCTTTTTTCTTTGGCAATTCAGTTTGATTGGTTTATAGACCATTGGGATGTTGTTACTGCTTTTCTTCATGGAACATTAAATGAAGATGTTTTTATGTATATGCCAAAGGGCTTGTTAATTGATAAAGGTAAAAATGATAATGTGCCTAAGGTATGCAAACTAAACAAAGCTATGTATGGACTGAAGCAGGCAGCCTCAAGTTGGAATAAAGAGTTGCATAATGCTTTGATTAATATTGGTTTTAAGCAGTCTGTTCATGAACCATGTATTTATATTCTCAAACAAGATAACCTTTATTTAATTTTAGCAATTTATGTGGATGACATTTTTGCATTTGGTAATAATCAAAAGAAAAAGCATGATATATTTTCTCTACTAGATAGTAAATTTAAATTAAAGAATTTAGGTCCCATAGAACATGCCCTAAGTTTGAGAATAAGAAGAGTAGGTTCAGAATTAATTGTTGATCAGAAAAGGTATATAGAAAATATATTAAGTGTGTAGTTATATAAGATTGCAAACCTGTAAATTCACCAATTCTACCAGGTTTGAGGATGAGTAAAAGTGACACCGTTGATACAAAAATTCCATATCAAAATTTAATTGTAAGCTTGATGTATATTGCTCTAAATACCAGACCAGACATATTACATGCAGTTTGTGTATTATCTCAATATAATAATTGTTATACAAAAGAACATTTTGTACAGGTAAAAAGGATTGTAAGGTATCTGAAAGGTACAATTAATTATTGTTTAGTATATAAGAAGTCAAAGAACTTCAGTTTATATGGATATGTTGATGCCGATTGGGCAAATTCAGAAGACAGGAGATCATATTCCGGATTAGTGTTTAAACTTGGTGATAATCTTATTGCCTTTGAAAGTAAAAAGCAAACTTGTGTTTCATTATCATCAACTGAAGCGGAATATGTTGCCCTGGCTCAGGGTGCCAAGGAGGCTATTTTCTTAAAGAATATTATTAAAGAACTATATGTAGAGATGATAGATAAACCTATTATTTTGTATAATGACAACCAGTCATGTCATAAGATAGCTGCTAACAAGGTAAATAGTAATAGGACTAAGCACATAGACATTAAATTTCATTTTATTAGAGAAGCAGTTGAGAGTAACAAAATAGAGATTAAGTATTTGTCTACTCAGTGTATGGTGGCTGATATGTTCACCAAGCCTCTGAGTTCTGTAAAAATAAGTAATTTTATGAAAGATATTTCCCTGTATCAGAAATTATAAGTTTATTTTTTGTATTGTGCTGTTTGTGCTTATGGTATTTTTTTTATGTTTGAAACAAAGTTTGGTTTGAGGGGTAGTGTTGAAGTATAGTTTATTGTGAACTTTATATAGCAACCCTAACTTTGTTTATGGTATTATAAAAAAAAAAAAAACTTGTGTGTCAATGACAGAACTGAAAAAGGTTGTTTTTTATTTCTCTTCTCCATCGTTAATAATCCATTTAGTTGACTTGTAATAACATATTTATTTGACGTGTAATAACAATAATAATCATAACAGTTAGTATTTCAATAATAACTTAAGCTTTATTTATGAAACTTCCGAGTTCTAGTTAATCTAAAGGTTTTTAATAAATAGGCCAATTTTCATGTATTTATGTTAAATAAATTTTGAATTATTAAGAGGAAAAATGAGGCTCCAAATAGTTCGTGTAATATAAACCACGGCTGCTGTATCATCAGTTTTTAGCTTGAATTGACTTGACACGCTGCCACATGTCTATATTACTACCCTAATTTACGCGGGCATAGGTGTTTGATATCATAAACGGAGTACCCATAACATTTTAAATAGATGTAGTGATTAGTTGCTCTGTGGCTAGTTTATAAAAGCATTTCCATCAAATGATTAAGAAATGTGCTTAAAAGTCAAAGATGATTTATAAAATATTTATACCTATGTTAGTACAAACGTATAAGTATTTTACACCATAAATAGCTCGATAGTAAGTAAATACTTAATCCTAGCATGTTTTAAATTTTTTTTTCTCAGTGATATAAATTATTTATCTAGTTTATTTGTTTCAGAATATGATATGAATGCTATGATTTTGATGTCAAGCTTAGTATTTATTGATTTAGAAGAGTGTATTCAACAACTTGAAAAATTGACACAAGTTAAAACAACCCCACCACCACTTGTTGAAATAAGTATGAAAATCTTTTGTTGAAATGTAGTTATTAATGGGTTTTTCATATATTTTTCCATTTGGCTATGTTACCATTACATCTGTTACTTGTTTGAGTGTGACGCCCTCTAATGTCTTGTGTTTCTAAGCTGCTTTCGTTGCATACCGACCTTTATTGTGGCTTACGGTAATGACAGTTTCGTATGCTGTCTAAAACAAAACATGCGACAATAATTTCTAAACTATATGAGTTAGTAAAATCAGTGATTTAACTGGGTTCAATCTTGGGACCTCTGAACCACTGTGAAGCGTAGTCTGATTCCGCCATAATCATTTACTTATTCGCGCATGGAGTCAACACGCATTAGAATAATTCTTATTATCGGTTTTTATTCCAAGTTGTATTTTTTTATAATTCTGTATGGTAATCTAACTGACGGGCAAAAATCTTTGTGGGTGGGAGCAATGACATAACAGAAAATAATATGGGTAAATCAAAATTAATTTTACACAGAATATATCTATATAGATACAACTGCAATTAGGTATTACATATTTGCAGTTGTAATTGCAATTGCATGCAATTTTTGATGAATACCATACAATGTATCTATTAGGGGTGGGTAATGTATAGCAATATCTATATATTTTAGTTACAATGTCTATATGCTAATCCAGTAACAAATATTATATATTAAAAATCTGTTATCTAAAAAATAATATTGGGTTACAGACTTTAACATATTCGAAAATACATATCTGACCGATATAGGCAATATTGAAATATTGAAATGACCTTTTTTTCGCTATCAATGTCCAAAGGAATCCAATATATAGGTATCGGTTAGATATCCATGTTACCCATGCCTAGTGATATACTGTAACGAGAATAAATTGATTTTTTCAGAACAAAAGAAATATAGTCAACCAAATGTTCGCTATGGAGAATACTTACAACATATTTATGTACCATTATACTGCAAGCATCCTTCAGGGGAGAAAATGAAACGCAAGTCATTGCCTCTTAGTTATAAATTTAGACTCAGAAGCGAAGCGGTAATTAGTAATTAGTAGTAGTTAGTAAAATTGTTACTTGTCATCATCTTCCTGTATTTATCATCTTATATTTAAAAAAAGAAAAGACGGTTTTATGTGAGAAAATGGAGCACTGTACAATTGCGAAGGGGATACTGTTTAGCAACTGCAGTGGTTCGGGTGTAGTACTCGTACTCTGGAATTGGACAGATCACTAAATAACCTCTAACACATGAAATCGTTACTACACTCGAGAGCGATGAATCCGGGTTACTTAAAAACCTATAAATCTCGGAAAATAAGAATGCTAGCTTAATTAAATAAATTGTGTTTAAAAAACAATTAAATACTTCTTAAATTAAGGTATTAAAACTTCTTAGTTACTGCATGGTTATATCATAAAAAAATAAAATTGAAAAAGAGATACTTTCTAAGATGAAACTACGAAATTACTGCATTTGATTTTGCTTTTGTTTCTAATCTGTCATTTAAATGGGTATATAAACCATATTGATAGTATTCAATATTTATATTCAAGCTGTAATCATGTCGCTTACACGTAAAAAATACACCAGAATCCTCACAATGCTAGCAACCGACCGGAGTCAGCACGATACAGCCAGGACTGTCAGTATGTCTCTGTCAACAGTATAAAGAGTTCTCCGACGTTACGAGAAAACTGACTCTAACCTACGTAGTCCACGAACAGGCAGAACTAGGTGTACCACAGCACGAGAAGATCGATACTTGGTGAACACTATACTTCGTAGTCGCTTTCATACAGGAACTGAACTTACAAATCAGTTTCGAGGAAGGAGGAAGTATCCCAAGCGCATGGATAGTAAGACAACGACTTGCTGAAGCTAACTTGAAACCACTTAGACCTGCAGATGGCCCTAAACTGGAGCGTATGGTGATCGTATTTGATATGCCCAGAACCATTTAAATTTGACTATTGACGATTAATCGAAAGTTATGTTCTCCGACGAATCAAATGGAAGACCAGGGAAAAGATTCAAGCAAGAATGCATAGAAGAAAAAGTAGCCTACGGTAGTGAGTCTATACTTGTGTGGGCCGGAATTTCATCTGAGAGTCTTACAGAACTGGTGTTCATAGAAAACGACTCTTTAACTAGCGTAAGATATGTGGAAGAAATCCTTAATGAACACGTTAGGCCATTTATGGTCAATTTGGGTGAGGATGCTATTTTTATGCATGATTCATATAGGTTTCATTGTGAATTAAACTACCTACAAGAGATAACAATTATTCGTATGGAGTGGCCAGCACGTAGCCCGGATATCAACCCGATCGAGCATGCATGGGACGAGCTAGGGAGATGCGTAAGACAACGGAACCTTCCCCCACTTACGCTCCGTGAGCTCAAAATTGCTTTCACAGAGGAATGGGAGAATATTTGCCAAAATCGTATAAGAAACTTGGTGTACAGCATCCAAAACCGCGTAAACGCACTAATTTGAAGCACGAGGAGGCAATACAGAGTATTAAAATTCAAGAAAATAATATTGTTGTACAAAATATGTCATATTTCCTATTTTTTGTTTTAAGAAGAGATCAGTAGTTTTTTCTTTACGTAATTTTTAATAAATAAAATGTAATGACTTATAAATTTCATCACTTTCATTTAAGGGTATTATATTGTCTATTAAACACCGTTTATTTTATTAAGCTGGCATACTTAGTTCCCAAGATATATAGGTTTCTTTAGATGACCCACATTCATTGCTCTCGAGTGTAGGTACTTAGTCGAATTAGTATCAGACCCGCGTATCGATGTTATTTTTTGAGTTTTATAACCAAACAGCAAAGAAGGAAATTTTCTTTTAGTTTATTCATGTAGTGTTAATTAGATACTCTTAATACCCAATAATAACGATAAAGTAAGAGGGCGGATATAAGATAACACGTCACATACAAAAAATCTAAAAAAAAAAGAATATACAAAGGATTTTCTTCAGTTTGATTTTTTTTAAATATGGGTATATATTTTATGTAACATTTAAAGAAATTGAAGCATAAGTATATAATGCACGTAAGTTGATCCATTCTCATTTTTTTTCTAGAGTTACGAGAAATTATGCAGAGATCGAACTTTCGTAAGTAACTCAGTACAGTCTATTCTGTATATACCTACAATACCTAAAATTTAGTTTGAAGCATTTAAATAATTACTATATTTCCAGTTAGAAAAGCGCAAAGAAAGAAACAAGAAAGAAAAGCAAGCTGAAAGAGTTTGTAATTATAAGTTTTGGGAACCACCCAGTACGCTGCGTAAGTATTCATAACGATATCTCAAAGATTTTTGTCAAAATCGTCATACTTTCATACATATTATACGAGTATATAGATACTCTTGAAATAACCATTAAACAAGTTAGTGTTCTGGAATGGGTTTCGATTTTGGAAGCCCTGGATTAGATTTAAACTTTCCACAAATCAGCAGGAAAAAAATAAGTTAGACTAAGAAAGACTGTGGCACCCGGTTGGGTCCTAGCGGACACAACTGTATTCATTCCATCCCGTATTTGTCTTCAATATACAAGTACATTATAAATAGCCTGTCCTGTAATATTTAAATTATATTTACAATGTGCACAGTATACCTAAACCTAGGCAATTTAACAAAATTAATTTTGTTAAATTTGTTCTAAATTTTTAATTGTAATTAATTCCTAAACTGAAACAATAATAAAACCTAACACCCTGGTTACGCGAGGCAACGTGATTGTCACTGCACTATGAAGCAATTAATAATAAATGTTAATTATAAGAATAAGAGAAGAAATAGCGTTTATGATTTTTGGGTAGGTACCTGTCGAATATGTTTACGCGTTTCCCCTGTAATTGCACGTACAAAAGTAACAATTAATATGTTTGATTCTTATAGGCAATACAGATCCCAAAATGGCTGCTTACGTGAATAAATTAAGAATGCTCAAAAAGAAAGCGAAATCTAAATACAAATCACCCTATGAGAATGCACAGTATCAAGTAGGAGGTGTTGTTTTTACCGGCGGAATACCACAATATCTTATATCTAGTAATGTTTCCATGTTGTTATTGATGACATATTGTTTTAATTTCTTCTTATTATAAATCTTCACGTGGATTATAGTCAAGGGTCAACATAACACGGCCTTTTTCACAAGAAAGAGTATGTTGTGAGATAACTTTAAATATGCTATAATAAATAAATCTGTACTCAGAAGAATATTATTTTATAATTTTATAAAATACGTTGTATGTGCCTCGGCATAGAATGGGCCACGCCTTCCTTTCCCCTAGGGTGTCGTAAGAGGCGACTAAGGAAAGGCAAGGGATGGACAATAGTATCCCTCTTAAAATATCCTCAAAGGCTTAACTGCGGTTGCCAACTCGCCTGCCAAGCGTGGCAACTACTGGTAAAACTCCCCTTATGGAGAAGGCTAATATCCAGCAGTGGACAGTTAATGGCTGAATAATAATCATAATATTATAAGTAGATAATATGCTAATTTGTTACTGCTAATCTGTTGCTGGTTATGAGTACATAGATAGTTGGATACATGTGTGTTACCGTTCTATATCTGCGACAAAGTGATGCAACCGTTCTTTCGGTGTAAGGCATATGCAATAATAAAAATATCAGAGAGAGACTTTATATAAAAGTTTTGCTTGCCATTCTAAGTTGTATAAAAAAAAAAAGTCGTTTGCTTGCACACCTCTCTCCCATTCATGTTACTATCGTGAAGCAGTTGTGTTTGCATGGCTGTGTTTCAGTTGGAAAGGTATAAGGATTGGCAGTGAATTTACAGGATATAGAGGAATGACACCTAAGTCCTCAAGAATTGCAAGGCATGGGCGAAACAGTATACTCTGATATGTCCATGGTACTGCTCATGTTCTGTAGGCGACGGTTACTACTTTCTATCAGGTGGGCTTTCAGCTTGGATGCCATTCCAAAATTCATAAAAAATTACTAAATAAATATATACTTACAGACGTTGCGTTACTGCCTACTGGCTATATACCTATCAATAATGGTACTGTACGTATAGGCGGAGAATACATCACAATTCTACATGGATTTTGGAAATTTCCGAAGGAAGTAAAAGAAAAGTGTGATGAAACTTGTAATTGTTTAACGAAATGGTATTTTTTTTTCTAATAATTACTGAATATTCTTTGTACCTAATTATATGTGTTTCAGTACATCGTGTAAAAAACTTACCAATATTGGACTAAACTAGATCTACATTGCCAGTGTCGTTAATAATAATAATATCTGAAATGGCTCGGAGTCTGTGTTTGTAATTACATTTAGATGTTGTCAGATATTGTTATCCAATCCTTAACAAAAAAATATCCTCAGAAAACTTTATACTCATCTGGTATACGTATGCGTAGTTATAGACTTGAGGAAAATGTCGGTACGTCAAATATTACGTTCGGCATAACGCGCCAAACAGGCATTTACTGTATATGTATATATCTGGTACTATTTTAGTAGTTGTCTATATGTATTTCTTTTGTAGGGAAGACATTGTAATGGAATATTTAAAAGTGTCCAAATGTAGATGCGGTCACTTGTACGACCTTTACAATGAAGGGAAAGCCAAAGAAAAATATTTTCACTCCTCTACAAGACACGGCCGTTTTTGGATAGATAATGCTAAAGTTTATCAAATGGATCCATTGGACGAATTTATAAAAGACACTGTCAAGGAAGCACTCATGTCCGTCGATCCTACGGTACCTAATCTTATAAATCTTAATAAAAATAAAATAACAATAATAATATATAGTGTAAGTAATTTAATCTTATTACAGCCTGAATCTTCCACCCCAACAATATCGGCTACTGGGCTCAAAGAGAAAGATCTTTTAGCGGTAAGCTTAATCATCTAACAAATATTACAATATTTATTTATTAAAGACAAGAAATATACAACATGAGCATAATAATATATATAAATTATTCCTCTGTACTACTCCTCTGTTGCACTTTATATATTAATATGATATTGGTTTATTATTATTAGAACATTATATAGTTATGTATATTATTAATTATTTTAATTATAGGCACTTCTAGCCGATTTATCAAATACTCCTCTGCTAATACCTCATCTACCACAAGCTAATCTTTTAAACAACCTTCAAGAATGGGTAAGAAAACGAGTAAAAGGCAAAATAAGCCCAAAGGAACATAGTAAGTGTTTGCAATTTTAACGCTGATAGTTATTTTGGAAATATATTTTATGTACAGAATTGACCTCTCTACAGATTTATTATAAGTATAGATTTCCTGACATTATAAACGTCGTTGTATCAAAAGTTAATAGTTTGTATGTATCAGAAAAAAGGAAAATAGGGTTTTTATAATTATTAGTAACGAGTATTACCCGCCTTATTGTACATAAACCTCATAAACTGTACATAAACCTCCCCCATAGACTGCCATGAAGAACAATCCTGAGCCTCCTGAGTCCAACACTGCGTTTGAACATTCTTCGGGCTACGTCGATTACTTTGGTTCTTTTGCAGCTATCCTCGTTTCGGATTTTATCACGCAAAGAAATTCTAAGCATAGTCCTCTCCATAGCCCGCTGAGTAATTTTAAGCTTTTGCGTACAGGCAATCGTATAGGACAATGTTTCAGTCTTTAAATTTTGAGGTATTTTGGATGAAAAGATGTGACGTAGTTTTCCAAACACAGTCTAACCGAGTTGGATTTGTTAGTTGACCTCTCAGTCGAAGTTGGACTTACCTATTTGGACAAATTGTCCCAGGTATACATACTCGTCGACAACCTCGAGCTTAGTGTTTACAATTGTAACCGGTATAGGTGTGACATGGACGTTAGACATGGTTTTAATCTTATCCATGTTCATCTTAAACATACCAGTTGAGAAGCACCATTGAGGTCTTAGAGCATACTCTTCATATCCTCCAGGGCTTCTGCCATGATTACTATGTCATCGGCAAATCCAAGGTGAGTGATGTATTCGCCTTTTATATTTATACCATATCTTTTCTAGTCCAAGAGATTGAAAACATCTTTCAATGTAGTTGTGAAGAGTTTTGGGGATATGACGTTACACTGTCTTATATCTTTCACTTATGCACTGGGACGGATTTTGTTCCCTGATTCTGTACTCGGATATAGATATCTTAGCCTTACTGTACATACACTTCAACACTTTGATATACTCGTACCGATAGTTATTCTAGCACCGCTGGAGGGACAGTAGTACCGCCCTTGTTTCGACCGAATCAAAGTCCACAAACGCCAGATATAGTGGCAGATTATACTCTTCGATCTTCTGTATGACTTGCTATAGCGTATGTATGTGATTTATAATGCTAAAGTCCTTTCGGAAACCAGCTTGTTCAGGTGGTTGATAATCGTCGAGTTTGCGTGTAAAACGATTAATCAGGATTCTCGAAAACAGTACGTAGACCCGATTCACGTATAAGAACGCGCAAGCGGGGCTCCATTCCATTTTTACTGTTAGAAAAAATAGATTTCCTAAATTTTAATATTTTATTTTACTCCTAATTGAGATATTTTGTTTTCATTGCAGAACGGTTAATTCTACAATCACAACGTCGCTGGCTAGATCTGAAACATATGGATTTTAGAGCTCGCGCATATAGGATTCCATTTACACTAAAACAACTAGAACATATGAATTGGTCACATCGACAATTAGTACAAACTCTGGTGAGAAATATACTAACAAATGAACAATGAAAAAACAAAAGTTATTATATTAATTTACCACCATATTTAATGCCTAAACAATCTATTGCCTATAAATGTTTCTTTAAAAATAACTATAGAGGTTTTGTAAATTTTTTATGTATAATTAAAACATAATATATAATATAATCATTTCATCTCCAGTTTATTTTCAATATCTATAAATATAAGAGTGATTCATATAAAGCTATCTATTTTTCAGTTCGATATATTATTGAATAATTTTATAACAAGAAATAGAATTAAACAAGTTGAGCAAACTCGCTTGTGGTGGTCTACAACTAAATATGACGCATACCCGAGTAAACCTTTTCTGTAAGTTATTTTGAAAATCTAAAATGACTATTCGTGTAAGTATATAAATACCTAAATAAATAGTAACACATAAATACCATACTGTAAATTACACTGTGCCGTGTAGTCCGTTTAGTAAGTAACTTTATCTTTTTTCATCGCCGAGGGTAGATGGGCATCGTTAAAAACGTGTCCGAAGGCGCCAGATTTCCTTTTCATAGATCTATTGAAACTACAATAAATATATAAACGAAAGTTTATAAGTTTATCTTTCTTCAATCAATATTACTACCGTTTTCAGGGATATATATTTTACATACATGTCTGGAAGAATGAAAGACACTTTCCTGATTAATCCTCATAGCTCTGAACTTACACCAAAGCACGGTGCTAAAACCTGCTCTCTGCATTAAATAAGGTGGCCACTCATATTTTTAAGGTTTGGTAATATATATTGTTATAGTAAGTAGTTTGATAAATTATATGTATTTGATATTTTTGTGCATTATAGGTTTTTGTATTTTATGCATGAAAAATTATTAATTCACTCATGCGCCACCTACCCATTTCTATCTTAACCAAACTCCTTTAACCAAATGTTGTCTGTAAGAAATTGTCCTAGCAATAAGACCGCCTTTTGTACCTTTATGTGTATATTTCAATCTGTATTAATATTACTGTATTTCACTTGAATTGTTCAATTGTCATTGTATATTTTTGTTTATGGTGCTGTAAAGAGTTAAATAAATAAATAAAATATTTGTTAATTTTAATTTAATAGATTTGGCGTGACAACTGCACAATGTGCGCAATGCTTGATCTAATTAAGGCAACACGATTTGATAAGTCCAAATTGCAGACAAGAGTGGCATTGCATGAAAAAAGAAAAATAGCGTCTAGTCTGGTTTCCGCCTGAACCTTGGGTGTAAATATAAGGGTGAGTCGCGTAAGAGGAGGTGACTTTTCACGCATCTGGAGATTTGCTTCCAGATGCTAGTAGTTTCGCTATTTATACATAAGTGGACTAACGACTTCGAGGACAAAGCATCTGTGAAGTGATGACAGTGGTGTAGACGACATCAGTGCCTGAAGTAGAAGTGCCAGGTGCAGTTTGTGTCAGCTCCCTCTTTATTTTGCCCATTTCCTTTTGCATGCAGGTGAGGAGTTCACTACGCAAGGACTCGGGGAGTCCGAAATAGTTGACGTTTCCGGAGCAGGAGTGACAGCAGTGTCTCTGCTAGCTTCTCGCCCAACGACACACAAGCACCTTGTCGATGTCTCGGAAGTGAAAATCATTGAAAGATGTCCATAGTATTGCGAATTTTTTCAGAAGCGCGTAATATAAATTTTTGTTCTGTGTGCAATACTTTTGGTTTCAAAGGTAGCCAAGATAATAGCCCCAGACAGCATGATTACATGACAATGTGCTAGAAAGGGCAATTCAAAGACTTGCTCTGACAGGTAGAGGTTTTCCTGGTGGCTATTGTGTCTACAATAGGTCGAATTCTATCTAGGGCTGTCTCTAATAAAAGAGGACGGGTTAGGGCGGACGATATCGGGAATAGGGGTCCATGAGGGACGAGAGAGAGCTCTGATCTTTTACAGCAAATGTCAGAATTGATAGTTGACGTGGCTACCTACTTGGTGGATGGAGTACAGAGGTCTTTGTTGAATGACTTTTCATGACTTTTTATGCTTGATCGGGTTGACATTCGGGCTGCGTGCTGGCCAATCCATACGAGTAATGTTTATCTCTTGTAAGTAGTTTCATTCTCAATGAAACCTGTATGAGGTCGGGCATTGTCATACATAAAAATAGCATCCTCGCCCAAATTGACCATAAATGGCGCAACGTGTTTATTAAGGATTTCTTCCACATATCTTACGCTAGTTAAAGAGCCATTTTCTATGAACACCAGTTCTGTGCGACTCTCAGATGAAATTCCGGCCCACACAAGTACAGACCCACCACCGTAGACTACTTTTTCTTCTATACATTCTTGCTTGAATCTTTCCCCCTGGTCTTCCATACACTCTGTGTCTTCCATCGTGCTTGTTAAATTTGTGCTTTAAGTTTTGATTCGACGGAGAACATAACTTTCGATTAATCTTCAATAGTCAAATTTAAATGGTTCTGGGCATATCAAATACGATCATCATACGCTCCAGTTTAGGGCCATTTGCAGGTCTAAGTAGTTTCAAGTTAGCTTCAGAAAGTCGTCGTTTTACTGTCCATGCGCTAGGGCTACTTCCTCCGAGACGTCAAAACTGATTTGTAAGTCCAGTTCCTGTGAGAAAGCGATAACGAAACGCATGGTGTTCACCGAGTATAGATCTTCCCGTGCTATGGTAGATCTGTTGGTGACAGTTGGCAAGGTTCGTGGGGCTCAACTTCACGGTCCGACAGTGACGAGGAAGCTGATGCCGTCGGTGTAAATTTGTGTGTGCGTTGCAATAAAATATATGAACTGACTCGCGAAGGTGATTATTTAAAAAAGGAATCGTATATATATATATATATATATATATATACATATCATTACGGCGGTCTCATCGGAGATAGGTATGCATATTGTGAGGCTGTGTTCGGTATCAGCAGTTACACAATAGCATGCTTCCACGTATGGAGTGGTACAGGACCGGGTATGAATAAGCCTTTTGAGGTATATGTACGAGCGCGTTCATCTCGCGGAAAAGTATATGCATATAAATCCACCGTACATATAGTTATGTACATAACACCGCTTCGACCTTGGGACGTGAGATGTTGACGTTCCAGAGTTTGTAACTAGCAGAATTAGCCTAACAGCCTAAGAAAACAGATGTTTTAAAGAACCATCCACACCAGAAGCAACAAGTCGCTTCAGGTTAACAGATGTCAGAAGAGGGAAACGTTGAATTGGTATATTTGTTGTTATAAACATGGCAATGGCTAAGTGCCTGACAGCTGCAAAGAATAATGGGGTAATAATAGTAGGAGCATCGTAAATGCCCCGCGTGCCTTGCTGGTAGCACCAGACGTATCCGTGCCCATCTACATCGATGCTATTCTAGGTACCGTTCTTTCGAAACAACAATGACCGCCGCACATTCTCTTCTTGAGACAAAATGACCGAGGCTTCCTCCGCTCATTTTGGAACACCTTCCGGACTGGATGCGCCATTTTAAGGCACTGAATCGGAAAAAACATAAGGCATAAGTATCACGCCGAGATTGGAGTATGAGTACCACACCGTCCAGCCGTATCTTTCCGGCGTAGAGAAAACGAACAACATCAGCTAGTTCAGTTATCAGTTACCGGCATAGCAGGGCCACTACTCGCCACCGTGGCCACCTAAAGAATGTCGGCAGACTTGCACGTGGATGAGATTGTCAATGCCCTGACAGAACTGGGAATCATTCCACAGTTGCCCGGGATGCATATTTTATGCCCATATGAGGGAGCCCTTTGGTTCCACATCAAGAACCCAGAGTAACCTAATGGCTTCGGCAAACCCGGTTACAGATTGGAGTAAATCGCCTTCTAATATGCTTTAAGTCGCATATATTCATGATTTTATGTTACATTATGCCATTTTACATACATTCACTTCATCTACTCATCACATTCATACATTAGCCTACAACTTACGAATATCACTCTTCACGCCACATACATTTCTGTATATTTTTGTTGGATAAATTATCATTATATTTGTCTTTCAAATTTCTCAGCTTTTAGCGCTTGTATTGCATACTACACTTACGTGTACGGGACCAAGTAAATGCAGTGTGTATATTTTGTATGAAAGGTCATGACGGGTGGCTACTTCATCCTCATCTATATCTAAAAATTTTCTGACTATTCTACAAGTATTTAATATGGCAGCCTTTTGTAGGGATAAATTATTATTATTATGATTATTATTAATAAACCGAAAAGACAAAAGGGGAAAAGAAGCCCAAGGCAATAAATGCCCTTTACGTCGAGGCCTTGCGGACTCGAGCTCAAGCGCCCAGACGAGAAACCCGTCTGCAAGCGGTCGCCATCCCTATCACGCTCACCTCCATCGTCACCACCACCACCACGCCTGCCGACACGTCCCGAAATACCATGTATATCGCAAAGACGAACTGACGGACGAACGAAAAGTATATCGCGTGTTGGCTGTCCTAGTGAAGAGAAATATCGTCCACCAGCCGCTCCTCCAAGTGTAAATATTTTCTGATGAGTGGAAAATGGAATGTTCATGGTCTTCGCGGCTTTCCTCATTGAATATTTCTATTAATCAATGAGCTTCACAGCCTTTTCTAGATGGTTCTTAAACCGGCTAGCTTTATTTGTCGAACTTTAAGCATCTATAAATAAAAAATACATTGTTTCATCAATATTATGTAAGCAATGAGGGCGACTATGAAATTAAAAGAAGAAGAAAAAAGAGAAGAAACCTGATAAGAAAGTTAAAAATATAATAACAATTTGGATTTTAATTCGCTATCTAAAATGTTACGTTAATTACATATCACAAGTACAAAAATGAAGATATAGTAATTTAAGTCTTACCTTCAGATTTATATACTCGAAAAATTTTATCATAATGACGCAAAACCTTTACATATTTGTTTCTCTCCAGCGCGTGGCACGAACTGAATAAGCCACCATCTGCGCACGGGTATGAGGCAAAACTAGTACATAGGTATGTTTTTTTTTTAATGGGCGATAATGGAATGGTAATCCCACCCGCGCTACCGGTACACCGGCGGAGTACCATTAAAGGATGATAGGTGAGGATGAAGCGGGTCAGTAAGCCCATCGTGACGAATTCAACAAGAACCGTTCAAAATGATTTCCAGGGGGAACCACGTGGAGGCCGACCCAATAAGGCACATTGCTAGCAATGGGGGCTGTCAAACTCCATTGTTATCAATCCCTTTCCACCCTACATAGGTATGTTGGCATTACATGCTCGTGTTCGGTTTTTGTTATGAAAATTATTATGAAAATATTTACAGAACCTGGAGAAAAAATATTGAAATGCATATTACTTATTTGAAGTAACAACACAATAAAAAATTCAAAAAATAGAGAAAAATAAATTAATGTTATAGTGGTGTACAAGTATCTGTATATACCTTTATCCAATATATCGATATCCACAGTTGCCATAAAAAAAAAACAAACTAAAAAAAAAAAACAAACTAATTCTTTTAAATTAATTTTATTTTTAATTATATAAGGATTAGTTTTATTTATATATTGTGTATTAGATTGTATATATAATTGTATATTTTGTAGTAATATTGTTATGAACTAGCTTGTTTTTTTTTTTTACTTTTTTAAATTTTACGAATAACATGGACAATAAAACATGTACCTGTATTAAGTTACTTTATTTTACTAACATTTTTAATCAATTTTTTTAATAGGCATTTGCATTGTACCGAGTCAACAAGTATATATACTAGATTATGCACATAAGACAAAAAGCTCTATTTGTATTTACGACATTATTTTAATTACATGTAACTAAAATTATTTTTTTAAAAGGTGACATTGTAACAGGATGCAACATACTACAAATATAATTAATGAATTGTTCATATAATAATAATTTTAAGTGCTATTTATATTCGTAATATATCATTCCTTGTAATTCAATTTCAGTTTGTATCGATAAATAGTAGGAATCATGGTTTGCAAACAATACAATAAAATAGATTGGGAGGGGGGGGGAAGATTGTTAGCAATGCGTACTAAGAATCCATTTACTAGCAATATAACCCGTCAGTCTGTTCAGCCTCCACGTGCCCCCCCCCCCCCTTATGTGAAAACCATCATGTTGAAAAAGATGTATTCAACACATCCTAATGATGCCTCACCAGTATATACCATTTAGCGCGGCTTTTTACACATTAATCATTATCAAATAATAAAAAAAAAGCCGGTCAAA